TGTGTGACCCTGGAAGTGGAACAGCTACAGTTAATGATCAGAACCAGGATCCCAGGGGCTTTGTGACTGTTGAAAGGCTGAGATTATTAGAGATGAGAGGCCTTGGATTTGACTTGATCAGATTTCTCTCATTTGCAACTGATAGAAAACCCAAATCAATCTGGCATTTAAAAAGGGGAATGCAGGGCCTCCCTGGTGGCACAAGGGGTTAAGACGCAACCTATGAAGCTGTCCGCAGCCACTGCAACACGAGTTCGATCCCGGCCAGGGAGCTACCCTGAGCTGATTAGAAAACCCTCCTGACTTGCCTGCTGCTCCCCTCAGCAGTATATTTTAGTAGATCTGCCTGTTCTGCTCCCCACTCTGTCTCTGGTGATTCCTCTCACCCTCCACACCTCTGGCCTGCACCCCAGTTCTTATATGCATAAATAAATCTTTTTTTTTAAAAAAAAAAGGGAATGCTGAGCTTTGGTTATTAAAGTCGAGGGGTAGTTTGGCTTTGGTGTAGCTCATACGATGTCATCAGGACCTGCAGCTCTCCATCTGTCAGCTCTTGTGCTTTATATGGGCTCCTATCTCGGAAAAGTTCTGCTCTGGGGGTAGCTAAACAGTGGCCAGCAACTCTAGGCTTTCATCCTCACCAGTCCAAGACGAGCAGGAAGGAATAAGTGTGTCTCTCCCTAGCTATTTAAGCCAAAGTCCTGGACCTCATTCTTATGGGTCCAAATTTGCATCACTTTTCCATTTCTGAGCCACAGTGTGATATCAGGCATGCAGGGCTGTGACTGGCCACAATCACAGCCACTTGGAGGATAGTTCATCAGAGTTAAAATGGGTGTTGTTACGGCAAGAAGAGTCAGTGTATGCTAGCCAGAAAAATAAAGGGGGACAGGCATATCTTTCTCCTGCAGTTTTCAGCAGGCTGTTCATGAGGCCATTTAGGTTGGTAGCAGAGTTTGGGGTAGAGAGGAATCCCTAAAGTCTGTCTTTGAAGAAAGAAGAGGCATGGCTTGGCGTCAGTGATTGTGTAAAACAGAACTTGGATTGTTGGTACAAGTGCCTTTTGATAACTCTTCAGACTCAAAGATCTTTGAGGGCAAAGGATTTTATATCCTTGATAGCTACTAGTAGGCCTGATACTTTTAAAAAGGTTGTAAAGGAAGGAAGGGAAGAAGAGAAGGAGGAAAAAAGCGAGGGAGGATGGGTGATGAATAAATGAATAAATAAGTCACTGAGTTTGAAATTATTTTAGGAATAGGTTTATAGTATTTGATGGAAAGAAATCACTAAACAAATGCCTTATTAAAATGTTATCTCTTCTATTTAAATACATCAGAAATGGAGCATGTGAGATAGCATGGACACAAGTCACACACAACCTAGATTTAAATGTGGCTCTATGTGACCTTGTACAAATGATTTAGTCTCAGTTTCCTCATCTATAAAATTAGGCAATGTTAGGGTGCCACCTTAGGTGGGAAAGGCCAATAAAGCCATTTCCCAAGAGGAACCATGGGTGACACTAACTATTTTGATAAATGTATTCTAGATAGCACCTAGCTCTCCATGGGGCAGAATTAAAAGCTTCATTCATCCATACGTGGAGTGGGAAACCATTTTCCAGATAGAGGCCCACATCAGCCGAATTAGAAAGGCAGATAGATAAATCCGAGTGCTAACTTATTGAATGAGAATTTGTTTGGGGTGTTCAAGTCACTAGCACATTTTCTCTGGCGGGTAGCTATATTGGGGAGGTACGATCATAACTAAAAGATTGCTTGGATCAAGCAAGGGACTTGGGCTGCCTCTTGTGCGTAATGATGAACCCACCACAGGAAAATGAGAGAAAGTTCTTGGCTAGTCTGGGTCAGTTTGTCTCCGTCCCGCAAAATGAGCTTTGCTTTAAAAAAAAAAAAAAAAAAAAAAGAGTTTTGCTTTGTACCATTATACACGCATGTCTCAGGACATCTTATTTCTCGCAATCGGAATATCTCCGGGACAGACATACTTCCAGCCTGAAAATACAGAAAGAACAACCCACTGCTACATCCTACAAGACAGCTTCGAGGGTTCCTCTGACCCCCCTAGATCTGGGTCAAATGGCTTAACTCCCCATGTCCACAGCCTGAGATTTCAGCAAACGTTTGGGAGCGGTAAGTTCTTGTGGCCGCCGCCTCTGCCTGTTTCCTCATGATCTCCTAGCGTGTGTCAGTCTGGACGGACCACACAGTTGCTTCACTGATTTCCATAAAAATGAAAAACAAAGAAATCCCACTCACACAAAACATTCATGAGTAGGCTTGTCTGCAAGAACCAAGGAGGCAGGAAGAGAAGTTCTCAGGAAGAATTAATTTATGAGATACAGCAAGCTATTGAAAACCTGTATCAGACATTTGCTAGACTCCTTAGATTTCGAGGCCTGTCTAACCCATGTTAGATAGTGGACGCCTCTAAACTCGCTCTCACACCGAGGGTTTCTGTCCTGGGCTTTCCCACCCACAGCCCAGGAGTCTCACTTCCTCCACCCTCCTCCCTCTCCCTCCTCCTGTCCCTCCCTCCCACCCCCTCCTCCCCTCCCTCCTCTGCCCCTCCCTCAAGAGCACCACACAAGTTCCTCTTTTTGACTCACCACAGAGACATCCACCCCCCTCTCTGCATCCTCCTCCACAGCTGAAACCCAAGCCTGGAGATTTTACCTGCTCGCTGATCAAGAGTGTTTTCCAAACAAAGACTGTTCCTTTCAGATATTCTGATAAGAAAATGAAAGTATTTCTTACTTGATTGTAAAGGACCTGGATCTACGTTCAATAAGTGACCCCCATCCACTCCTTTTGTTCCTCTCCACATGTGCAATATATTGTTGATGGGCGGTACTGTCATCACGACTGTGGTGTTTTTACACCTGCCCATGTTCCTATGCTGGTTGAGAGGACACTCTGAAATAAAACTCACCACCATCAGTATGTGAAAGCTACAGGCTTTCAAAGATTTCAAAATTTACACAAGATCATCTAGCTAGCCAGCACAAGCTGGCTGTGATGATGATGATGATGATGATGATCTTGTGCTAATTTCTTAACCTCTCTGGTCTTTAAATTGGGGACATGGGAAGATAAAATTTCCTCATTCATGTAAAGTGCTTCCTACATAGGGTCAGCAAATGTTAGCTGTTACTTTTTTAATTCTCCTTTTTCTCAAATAGTGTGACTTTTAACATTATAAGACAAGAGAATTTAACCTCCGCACCTTAATACACCAGCTTTGAGCCAGACACTGAAGTGGCAGGGTCAAGGCTCAGCCTGGCTCAGGAACGATGCCCTGCTAGTGCCTCAGACCACAGAGGATTATCAAGTATTAACCCCAGCCAGGCAGTTGGGGGCCTGCATTCACTGATGAAGAGGAGAGTGATGAAATATGATATAGCCATAGTAGCCTAAACTGGGAGCACAATGACTGGCCTGGGTCTAGGTCATTTCTGGGTCAGATGACTCAAGGTTGCAGGTCTGGAGGATGCCAGGATGGCTAGTCTCTTGATGATCCAATTCCCACAAGACTTGTCCTAGAGCTGTTGGGAATCTCTCAGAGGGTAAAGTTTGCCCTCTAGTGTCTGTGGGCCCAAGAATAGACAGATTCCTTAATTAAGTGGCCAGAGTCTTGTTCAGGCTGTTATTCTCACAGCCTTATCTGATTGCTGAATGTCATCTTCTCCCATAACCTACCCAGAGGAGCCTCTGCCCCTCACAAGAACAGGCTGATTGGACAGCTTTGCTGCAGCTTCTGAAAAAACCAAGTTGGCAATGAGTGGGAGAGCCAGGCATGGATTGGGTGAAACAGTACCTACCAAGGTGAGGAGGAAAAAGAAGGGAGTGAGAAAGCTTTGAAGGGGCTGCCAGGTCAGCGCCATAGGTCACATCTTTAATGAGAAACTGAGTGGGTCTTTCTCTTGGCAGAAGGCAGAATTGTCTGCACTTGGACCTAAAGGGACTGGACATGTAGGCATTGCTACAATTCAACTGTAAAACCAAATCAAGCCAAAAAAAAAAAAATAACTAATAACTCAATGGGAAAAAATGGACTAAGACTTGAATAGACATTTCTGCAAAGAAGACATACAAAAGGCCAACATGTATATAATAATGCTCATTGTCACTAATCATCAGGTAAGTGTAATCAAAACCACAATGAGACATGACCTCACACCTGCCAGGATGGCTATTAGCAAAACAAGAACAGCAAGTACAGGCTAGGATCTGAGAAACTGAAACCCATGTGCAAGCTTGGTGGGAATACAAAACCGAGCAGGCCTTATAGGAAACAGTATGGAGGTTCCTAAAAAATTAACTTACGACTACCATACCATTCAACAATCCCACTTTTGGGCATTTATCCAAAGGAATGGAAATCAAGGTTCTCCAAGAAATAATAGAGTTCCTGACGTTTTGCTTCTCTCCAAGTCTATGCTACCCGTCTACCTACCACATGGGTCCCTGTTGCTTTGAAACTCACCAAAGACAACCTTCTATCCCGCACTGATCCCAGGCAGAAGTCTAGGCACCCCACTCCTCGCCCAAACCATCCTTCCAGGGCCAGCAGAATGTTGCTCTCTGGCCCAGTGCCAAGGGCTCCTTCCCAGCGGGACCTGAGCCCGGAGATGAGCTGCGGGAGGTCCAGAGTTGCCTCGCAGTGGAGAAATCGGTCCCCGTTCGGCGGCCGCGCTTGCCGGAGCAGCGTGAAAGCGTGGCCACAGGGCGGGACGCCAGAGCAGAGACTCGCTGTGCACTCTCCCGCGCGCGGCTTCCCTGGGCCGCCGCCAGCCCGGCTGGGCCGCCGCGGGGCGGAGCGCGGCCCTGTTTGGTCCCGGGAGGAGTGGCCGCGGTCGGGGCGGTCACTCGGTCCCCGAACTGGCTGCGGTCACACGCGCCCGGCTCCAGCTTCGCTCACCTCCCTCCAGGGCGCACCGCACCTATTTGCGCTCCCGCACCAGGGCCTGCCCTGCAGAGCAGCTGCCGGCGAGGAGGCCCCTCATCGTCCTGCGCGAGAGGCTACATGGGCACCCAGGCCGCCGGCCCGTGGAGAGGCGCCCTGCCTCGTCTCCAGGTGCGGACCTGGATCGAGCCCGTGGTGGCCTCGACCCAGCTGGCCGTTGCCCTGTTCGATCCAGGGCTGCTCCTGGTGGTGAAAGAGTCCTACGGAGCCAGCCCAGGGGCATCTTCCTCCAACCACAGCGCCAGCCCGTCCCCCCGGGGGTCTCCGGAGGAGGACCAGCAGCAGAAAGACATCTCCAACTTCTACATCACCTACAACCTGGTGGCGGGCTTGACGCCCCTGCTGTCCGCCTACGGGCTGGGCTGGCTGAGTGACCGCTACCACCGCAAGATCTCCATCTGCGTGTCCCTGCTGGGCTCCCTGCTCTTCCGCCTCGGGCTGCTGCTCAAGGTGCTGCTGAACTGGCCGGTGGAGATGCTGTATGGAGCAGCAGCGATCGGCGGGCTGTGTGGTGGCTTCTCGGCCTACTGGTCGGGGATCATGGCCTTGGGGTCCCTGGGCTCCTCCGAGGGCCGCCGTTCTGTGCGTCTCATCCTCCTCGATTTGATCTATGGCTTGGCTGGCTTCTGCGGGAGCATGGTGTCGGGGCATCTCTTCCAGCAGATGACTGGGGACTCTAGGCATGGCCTGGTGCTGACCGCCTGCAGCGTGAGCTGCTCAGCTTTTGCCCTTTTCTACAGCCTCTTCGTGCTGAAGGTTCCTGTGTCGTTGGCCAGGACCAGCAAAGCACTGCCCTCGGTAGATTCTGTGTCTGGCACGGTTGGCACATACCGCACCCTGGATCCCGATCAGCCTGACAAGCAGAGTGTGGCAGGGCGCCTTCCATCTCCCAGCAAAGCAAAGCCCCAAAAAACTGTCATTGTCCTGCTCTTTGTGGGTGCCATCATATATGACCTGGCAGTGGTGGGCACGGTGGATGTGATGCCTCTTTTTGTGCTGAGAGCGCCTCTCCACTGGAACCAGGTTCAGCTGGGCTATGGCATGGCTGCAGGGTACACCATCTTCATCACCAGCTTCCTGGGCGTGCTGGTCTTCTCCCGCTGCTTCCGGGACACCACCATGATCATGATTGGGATGGTCTCCTTTGGGTCCGGAGCACTCCTCTTGGCTTTTGTGAAAGAGACATACATGTTCTACATTGGTGAGTCTGGCCTTGGGGAGGTAGGATGAGGGCACTGCTGGCCTCCTGCATCATGGGGCTGACACCAGGGATGCTGGGGTCTAGTGCCCCAGCTCATCAGGGAGAGTACTGCTACCCAGGAGGTATAAGGGAGACAGGATAATGTGAACTTGATCTACCCGTATTGTGCTGTGCACTGTGTTAACTGTATCACCCTTTGAAATGTTCCCTGAAGGGTGGCTGGGAAGAACCTCCCAGAAGGAGGTCCAGAGTAGGGTGGCCAGTGGTGCCCAGAGTTAGTAGCAGGGGCTTCGAGATGACCTTAGATGGATGGAGAAAATGGGGTTGGGATTCTATTCAATTTTTTTTGAAGATTTATTTATTTTTGCATACAAGAGCTGGGGTACAGGCCAGAGATGTGGGGGGTGAGAGGATTCACCAGAGAGTGGGAAACAGAACAGGCAGACTGACTGAATACACTGCTGAGGGGAGCAGCGGGAAAGACAGGAGAGGTCTGCTGCACCATGTGGGTTGCTCCCTGTCCGGCCAGGGATTGAACTCGTGCTGCAGAGGCTGCGGACAGCTTCCTAGTGTGGTGCTTAACCCCTTGCACCACCAGGGAGCCCCCAAGATTCTATTCAATTTTAAAGAAATGAAGCAGTAAGAATGCAGCTGTTGGGGCCCAGCAAAGGCTTTAAAAAATGGATAAAAATTCTCCACAAATGTCTCCCAGAACCAATGTAAAACATTCCCTCAAGGAAGCAAAATGAGGTTTTCATGTGAGGACACAGGTCAGGCAACCACCAGAGGAGAGCTGTAGACCAGAGCTACAATAGAGCTTTCTATAATGATAGAAATGTTCTGTATCAGTTTCATAGCCACTAGTCATATCAAACATTTGAAGAGAGAACTGAATTTTAAATTCTGTTCTATTTTAATGAAGTAGCCACACACAGCTAGTAGCTATCATATTAGATAGAACTTGAAGGGCTGTCCTTCAGAAAAAATACCTAACAAAACAGCAAGACTGCTTTTGGCCAGTTCCCAGTGAAACGGGCCACGGGTAAAGGCCAGAACACCCCTCTCCCCTTCCCTTCCTGCCACTTCTACCTCCCTCCATACACTCACTTCACACACACACACACATACACACACCACACACACACGCACGCGTGCGCGCGCACACACACACACACACACTGCAAAGGGATAAATAGTAGGGCCAGAGGAAGGAGGGTGTGTGGCAACTGCACTAGTAGCAGGTGTTTCTGGATTGAGTTTGCCAAAGGACCATCTCCCAGAGGTGTTCTGGATGGCGACAGAAGATACCTCTCATTGACATCAGTGCCATTTCCCTTAACTCTGCCACTAAAGACACACTTCACCATACATTGTCATGCCAACCATGCCCTCTGCCTGGCAGATGGGTCTGCAGCTCTATTAGATACAGAGGAGTCTGTGTGGTCCAGGAGGGCTGGAGGCTGCCAGCGGAGAAGCCACTTCTTCCAGGGCAGGACATGCAGTGAGGGTGACGGTGGGGAGAGAGGGTTCCAAGTGAGACTTTTGTTTTGTTCTAACTGACTCCTTGGCCAAGCCTGGGCTACCATGAGCTGTTCCCATGTGATTCCTTTCCAGCTCGGGCTGTCATGCTGTTTGCCCTCATCCCCATCACAACCATCCGATCAGCAATCTCCAAACTCATCAAGGGCTCCTCCTACGGTAAGAAAACCCTCTGCTTCTCTCTACCTGGGCCCTTTCAGAGCTGCTTGGCTTGAGGCACAGGTTTGGACTTGCAGAAGATACCTGAGAGTTCCAGAAGCAGCCTGGAATTCACTAGGAACCTACAGGTGTCCACCCAGGAGACAGGGAGTGAAAACAGGAGGGTGGGAGTGACTCAAAGTCAGCTGCTAAGGCGCTGCATCCAAAGGCTGCAGGAAGAGCCTGCAGGAGGCAACAGGAGGCAGCGACATGAGCTGTGAAGACTGAGGGAATCCTGGGAAGGGCTAGGGTCCCCCAAGAGCTCCCTGGAACTCAACTATCAGGGAACATGGAGCCAACAGCGGCACGCCATCTCGGTAACTTCTGTCCCTCCCACAGGAAAGGTGTTCGTCATCCTGCAGCTGTCCCTGGCTCTGACATCCGTGGTGACATCCACGGTGTTTAACCAGATCTATCAGCACACCATGGAAAAGTTTGTGGGCACCTGCTTTGTTCTCTCCTCCGTTCTTTCCTTCATTGCCATCCTCCCGATTGGGTAAGAAAGGACCAGTGGTTGGGGTTTGGGTTGGGACTGGGGCTTAGGTCAAGAATTTTATGCAGCGGGGTTCTGGATAGGCTCTCTCACAAAGAAAAAACCCTCTTGATTATTGCTTCCCCAAAAGAATAATATGGAATTCCCCAAAGTCGTAAATAATGAACAGAGTCCCCATCTAGTACTTCCTGACAGTTTTATAATATGATTTGTTTAAAAGGACCTCTATACCTGCAATCAGAGGTTGCAATGAGAAATCCTCTTGAACCACTCAGACCTTTTGTTTAGCTCTATTTAAGTGAGCTTTTCCTCTCTCACTTCCAAGAACTTTCTTCCCTGTGCCCTCCTAGAGCTTAGCACCTGGCAGCTTCTGTGCTCAGTGCCCCTGAAATCTTCTGGCCCCTGGACTGGGTGAGCTCCTCAGAGAACCTTATGCAATTCCCTTCACCTTTCTGGGGAATTTAAAAATCAAGAGCACGAGAGCCTGGCAGCTAACAGGCAGGAGGAAGGCTGAGGAATAAGAGGGGTGCTCCTGGCCTCTCGGCATGCACACTTATCCATCATCACCACAGTGGGCCACGAGGAAATGTGTTCTGTTGACCTCGTCCACTGGAAATACAGTGCAAGCCACAAGTGTCAGCCACAGATGTGACTTTAAATTTTCTAACAGCCACATTTAAAAATGATAAAGGAACAGGTGAAATTAATTTTAATAACTGATTTGACCCCAATATCTTTTACCATGTGAATAGATTACAAAATTAATGAGGGTTTTTTTTTTACTAAATCATTGAAATATGGTATGTATTTTATGCTTACAGCGCATCTTAATTTGAACTCAATTTGAATGCATATCAAGTGTCAGTGGCCAGTGTGGCCTGCGGCTGCTATAGGAGCTAGAACTGCTTTGTCCTGCCCTTAAATCCCTCTATCACTCTCACCCAAAGAGAAAGGAACACTATACATATATCCACAATAAGATGCAAGGGATTTGATAAAGATTTTCATTTTAAAGGGACTTGCCTAATAGCACTACATACCACATAGTGTTGTTATAATAGGCAAGAGAGGAGAAAATAATTGAGAGCAAGTTGGAAGAGACAGAAAGTGGATGGTGATAAGGCCCTTCTCAGAATTCTCTCATCACAACATAGTATCGGGTCCTGTCTTTGTAGAATGTTGAACCTCCTGAGACAGGGGTTATCAATCATGAAGACTCTTTGCCTTTTTTCATGGATGAGAAAAATAATACAGGAATATCAAACAGTTGAGAAAATCTGTGTAAGCAGTGGACAGGAAGGAGTATTCACTTTCTCAAGGAATGGGTTAAAACCAGATCTGTCCTCAATGGACCAAGCACTTAGGCCTTTTCTGTGCCCCCGTTTTCATTGAGTCTTGACTGAATGAATGAGCTTAGTTAAACTCATCATGCTACATACATTTCTCAGGTGTTTTAGCTCTTTGATTAAGTGAATAATGGATTCTTCATAGCTTTGCTGACCATAAGTTATCCAGTCCTATTTGGCAATTGGTTGAAACAGTCTCTTTAACCTAAACCGTACACAAAAACTGAAAAGCAACAAAAGGAAATAAGCGGGCCTAGTTAATGTGTGACACAGTAGAGATATAACCAGAGAAATGAAAGCCATGTACAATAATTGGTTCCTTTCTACAGTTTCTCAGGTCCAGGTGTATGCTGGGAAGGCTACTCTGTCCTGGTTAAGAACCTTAGGGCCCACACAGCAGGGGCACTGCCTTTGACATCTCACCCAATGCACTTGGACTCAGTCATGGTGGCGCAGCGGTTAAGCTCTGGGCTGCGAAGCTGCCTGTAGCCTTTGCAGCACCAGTTTGATCCCTGGCCGCCAGCGAGGGTCCCACATGGCGCGCAGACCTCTCCTGCCGCGTCTGCTGCTCCCCTCAGCAGTGTATTTCATCACTCTGCCTGTTCTGTTCCCTGCTCTGACTCTGGTGAATCCTCTCACCCTCCCCCGCTTCTGACTGCACCCAGTGCTTGTATAAATGAATAAATAAATCTTTAAAAAAAAGATTTATTTTATTTATGCATACATGCAAGAACTGGGGTCTAGGCCAGAAGTGTGGGGAGTGAGGGGTGAGAGGATTCATCAGAGACAGAGTGGGGAGTAGAATAGATAGATTGACTGAAATGCACTGCTGAGGGGAGCAGCAGGTGAGACAGGGGAGGTCTGCCCCGCCATGTGGGCTAGCTCCCTGGCTGGGGATCAGACTCATGCTGCAGTGGCTGGCAATAGCTTGATAGTGCTGACACTTAACCCCTGTGCCACCAGAGAGGCCCCTGCACAATTCTTAATTAGGCTCTGCAGGGTCTTCATGATCTTATATCATAGAGCAGGGACAGAGTCTTAACCCAAGCAAGTAAGTGAGTGATTCTATGAATGAGGCTCATAAGGAAGTGCTAATTGTTTCCTTCGGCTGTAGACATTTAGCAGTAGAAAGACAAGTGCAAATAAAGCCTCATTCAGTGTACATTGCGATCACATGAAGAAAGTAATATTAAAATAACTGATATCTGGCTCTTCCCCCGGGGCCCCGCAAGATTTTGGGGTGCAGCTGGGGCACAGGAATTCTTAAAAGCTCTCCAGGTTATTTTAACGTACAACCAAGATTGAGACCCTCTGGCATAAAGTGTTTCCATTATCCTTCTGTTCCACAAAGTCACTAAATAAATGAGATCGTGAAAAATTCTCACAGCTAGTTAAGGCCAAGAATGGACTTTCAGTCATTGAGAACAACAGGAAAGACCAATAGAGATTTCTAAGGTACATCCTGATCACATGAAAACCCAGGACACTTCAGAGCCAGGAGCAAAGGCGGCCATGCAGGGCAGAGTCTGGGAGGAGAGGTCCTTGGGTCAGAACCGCCAGTAGCCCGTTTGCAAGAAGAGACGGTGGCCCCAGCCCTGCCTGTTTCCAAAGTGAGACAATTTCATGTCACTTTGAGAAACTTCCCACTCCTGCTTGCGCTTCTTTATGTGCAATAAGGAGATGCTGAGAAATAACTGGGTGGCTCTGCCCATCAGCAACCCTCTCCTCCCAGCACACATGCACTCAGCTATTGCCTGGTCCTTCGTAGAGCAGACAGAAGCCATCAGAGAATGGCCTCACCTTCCCCAAAGGAAATCTACAAACCTTATTCTTTTGCAATGATTATAATAGCAAACACTTAAATAGCCCTTAGTACCAGGCAGTTTTAAATATTTTATGCATTTTAATTTATCTTCCCAAACAATCCTCTGGGCTAATTACTATTATTAGTCCCATTTTGCGAGTGAGGAGACAGAGATTCTAAGATATTGTGTAACTGGCCAAAGATGATATAGCGAATAAGTGGCAGGGACAAGACTTGGACCCAGGAAGTTGCTCTATTCCACTACCTGGTATTGCTTAGAAATGTCAGCAGGTGTCTGGGTGCCTCCTCTCATCCTGTTAGAGAGACCTCACTCCTGAGTTCTTCCTACCAGAACTGACACATGATCCACCACCTTCTCACCTCTCCTCTTCTTATTAGCCAACTTCTCCAGAGTCCAGTCTGCTCGTACTATCTCTTGTCTTCATCTCCCGGCCCCACATCCATTGCTCCTCTCTCTAAAAACATTAATGACACTTCAGAGCTGCACCCCGTGGGCTTGCTCAACCCTCACCCCTGATTTCCCTGAGCTCCCGGCACAGCAGATCATCCTGTCCTTGGGGATTCATCACTGTCGCTCTCCTGGTTTCCCTCCTACCTCTCTGATCACTTCTTCTCCAAAAACGTCCAGATGGAAGACTTCTTTGGGGTTCTCCTCTGAGTTGTCTCTTCACAGTCTCTAAGCAAACTACTTTTTTTTTCTTTAAAGATGTATTTATTTATTTATACAAGAATCAGGGTACAGGCCAGATGTGTGGGAGGGTGAGAGGATTCACCAAAGACAGAGCGGGGAACAGAACAGGCAGACTGACGAAATACACTGCTGAGGGGAGCAGCGGGCAGGACATGGGAGGTCTGCTGCGCCATGTGGGACCCTCACTGGCCGGCCAGGATCGAATTAGCGCTGCAGAGGCTGCGGACAGCTTCACAGTGCAGCGCTCAACCACCTGCGCCACCAGGGGAGGCCCTAAGCAAACTACTTTTAAAACTTCGAATTATCATTGAAATTGTCCAAATTGGTTCTTCTCAGAGAAAGCTTTGTGGAAGCTTGCAAACATTGATTTCCCACCTTCCCTGATGCCCGCCGAAGCCTGCTCCCCCGCCAGTCTTCCCATCTCATTAAATGGCACCCACTCCCCTAGGGGGGAGATCTGAGCGTCACCAATGTCCTCTCTCTTTTTCACCTTCTCCCGCCACCAACCCAGCAGGCCTCATGGATTCCATCTCCAGAATTTACCTCCAATCCGTCCTTTCCTGTTGACCATCGCTGCTGCCTCCCCTAGTCCAAAGCACCTTGGAGACGGAATTCCCCACGGCAGCTCTTAATCCCCATGCACCCCCTCTCCCCAGGGAGCCAGGGGAATTTCCTTAAAATACAAATCTGGTCTCCTCATTCCCTACCTTTGGCTTTCAATGCTCTTAGGACAAAACCCAAATGTCTCACCATGGGTTGATGGTCCTGCCAACCTCTCCAGCCTCCTGCGCTCACCGCCTTCCCCCTCCAGCCTGTGCCTCCCCCATGTTCTTCCTGCCTCTCTTCCTTGACCAGGCGTGGTCTTGAACACTTTTCTCCAAGAATTTGAGACTACCCCTTCTCAAGCCAATTAGGTCCTTCTGCTCCATGCTCCCGGGGCTTCCTACCCCTTTCCTTCCCGACAGTTGCGACCACTCAGTGATTTTGTTTCAGTTACTTACGTTGTACACAGTCGGCCCCGGAGGGGCAAGAACACCACACACATAAGAAGAACAAAAGCATTTGTTTAATGAATGAGGGATCAGTCAGGAGGGTGTGGCAGCTACCAGCAGCCCTGCTGGCCTCCACCCCCCAGAGCTGCCTGCAAGTGGCATGAAGTCAGGGGCTGGCCATGCACGCGGCTCCCCCTGGGGCAGCTGGGACTCAGGGCTGCAACCCCAGCCCGTTGCCTCCAAGTTTTGACTCTCCTCATGCTGGTTATATAATAAAGTGGGTTTGGTTTTAGGTATAGTAAATGTCCTTCTGTGTTAGAACCCCGTAGAACTTGGGAAGGTGGAAAATCCGTGCAAGTTTCCACAAAGCTTTCCCTGAGGAGGGTTGGACTGAAGCTCCATCCATCCAGCAGCTCCGAGTGCCAGTCAGCAGTCAGGAATTGCTGGGCTCCAACGGAGAACATGAGGTTCCTGGGAATCAAACAATGAGAACACCCAGGATCCCAGGGGTTGAAGGACAGGCCAAGGACAGGCAGACCCAAGACTTCACACAGAGCTTTTCATTTCTATGCATCCATTTGTCCACACACATTTTGGAACAATATGATTTTTGGAGGAGATGAAGGGGCTCTGGAAAGGCAGAAGATGAGCCGGTTAATTCTGCTTGGGATTAGCGAGTCCTGATCCTGAGATGCATGTGGGAGCTCATCACCAAGCAGGAGTGATATGGAAAGAATTTCCAGGAAAAGGAGTAGATAGAAGCAAAGGCTTCACTGTGCTAGGGAGCAAGCCTGATGTGAGAGAAGCTCCCTCGGGCATGTCTCCCTGCTGGATGGAGCCTCTAGTGTGTCGATGAGGACACGGCTAGAGCCCTCACCCTTGGTGGTGAGAAAAAGGCATACCTCTGCCCTGTTCCAACCGTTCTCTTGTAATTCTCCACACTGGATGTTCTTACAGCATCGTGGCCTATATACAAGCCTCGTGGTCGCAGTATGGAGACATCATAGAGCAATGAAGGTGCTGACCTGGAGCACTGGACATACCAGCACCGGCCAGGCCCTGAGAAGACAGAGGAAGGAGCCAGGAACTGGTGACCAAACTACCCCACTGCCCAAGAAACCTGAGTCGCAGAGTCCACCTACTGTGACTCCGGGGTCTCAGGGGGTTGGGGAACAGCACTTTCAAGGTGATGAAAGAACCTTCTCTGCTTTCAGAGGCCCTGTTAGGTAGAGACTAGGTTTTGCAAACATTAGCGCATGAACTCAAGGGTGACAATCAGGTTATACATGCAGCCGCATTTGTCACTGGAAGGGGTTTCAGCAGCAGCCCCTCTTCTTCCAGGAGCTCTCTCTGAGGGCACCAAGGCGTGGCTAACTAGTCACCAGGGGCCGTGCTAGGCCTCCCTGTGGGAGAACCACACTGCTTTCAGGAGAAAACCCAGAGGTCTGACCGTGGACCACAAGGCCCTACTGTACCATCTCCCTTCCCACCCTCTCCAAACCAAAGCCCACGTTTTCAACAGCCCAAGGGGATGTTTTGAAAGAACTGCCAACACTGAACATCAGCCATAATTTTTACATTAAAATAAAACCTTGAAGGAAAAAAAGCTAGTTTCCTTTCCCGAGCCGTTGTAGGGGACACGCAGGAGAGTTAGGAGCTCAGACTCTTGGCCTCAGGGCTAATTTTTGTTGTTTTTAAAAAGCAAATACCATAGACTTTATTCAATGGAAGATTAAAGTGGGTGTTGTAAAGGGAAGCGGGGAGGAGAGATGTTAAGAGCCATTTTATTTTGCAGTACTTATTTTTACAGCCTCTTGTACTTATATATAGAAAAGCAGATTCACTTCTTAATAAAACCAACATTCGGGCCTCCCCGGTGGCGCGCAGCGGTTGAGCGCTGGGTTGCGAAGCTGCCCGCGGCTTCTGCGGCGCCGGTTTGATCCCCGGCTGCTCCCCGGCCACCGGCGGAGGATCCCACATGGCGCGCAGACCTCTCCTGCCGCCCGCTGCTCCCCTCAGCAGTGTACTTCGGTCCTTCTGCCTGCTCTGCTCCCCGCTCTGGCTCTGGTGAATGCTCTCACCCTCCCGCGCTTCTGACTGTACCCAGTGCTTGTATAAATAAATAAACAAACAAACAAACAAATAAATAAATAAATAAATCTTTAAAAAAAAAAAATAAATAAAACCAACATTCACAGTATGTGTGTGACTCATTCTTCCCCGGGTCAGACCCCTCCGTAACTAGTTCTTACAGTGGGTACAACATGGAGGTAGAGAATGCGTTCAGGTCTCAGCATATTCCTTGCAGGGAACGGTCAAAACTTAAGGCACACCTGCTAAGGCCCAGCGCTTGTAGGTGCTGAGACACATCGAGACCACACTGGCTGCTCCTGCCCTAATGGGGCCACTGTCTAGTGGGTGGAGCATACAGAAGAGCGGGACGTGGGGTATCTTGGAATAGGAGCTAACATGAGGGAGAATGGACAGCAGGGAGGGCTTCTCAAAAGACTAGAAGGGTAAGGAGTGAGCAATACCAGAAGCTAGGGCTCATTCCAGGCAGAAAGAATAAATGGAGGGGGCCTCCCTGGTGGCGCAGCGGTTGAGCGCTGGGTTGTGAAGCTGCCCGCAGCCTCTGCAGCGCCGGTTCAATCCCTGGCTGCTCCCCGGCCACCGGAGGAGGGTCCCACATGGCGCGCAGACCTCTCCTGCCGCCCGCTGCTCCCCTCAGCAGTGTACTTCGGTCCTTCTGCCTGCTCTGCTCCCCGCTCTGGCTCTGGTGAATTCTCTCACCCTCCCGCGCTTCTGACTGTACCCAGTGCTTGTATAAACAAACAAAACAAACAAACAAATAAATAAAACATGCCTCTATTAAAAAAAAAAAGTGTTAAAAAAAAAAGAATAAATGGAGGGGGAGGACCTGGAGGTGAAATATTCCAAGAGACAGGAACTCAGTGTGAAAGGGACAAGGAGGGAGGGCGGGCGTCAAGGAGATAGAATGGCACGATGAGACAGGAGCTGCGAGGAGCAACATAAACTCTAACTTTGGTGGCGAGAGCTGCTGAAAGGAACAGGAACGTGGACTGCTTGTGTTTGTATCTCCAAAAGGGCGCTCTGGCAGCCCGGAGACTGAGTTGGTGGTGGAAGGAGAGCCAGGACTGGCTGAAGGAGGTTAGCAAGAGGCTCCTACAGTGATGAGGTGGAGGAGGAGGGAGGGCTGACACGGCCTAGGAGTGGTGGGGGTGGAGGAGAGCAGAGGGACTGGGAGAGATATTTGGGAGCTAGAGGTAAATAGCAGCCGGTGATGGGCAGACTGAAGAGGGGGAGGTAGATGGAGGCAGGAAGGACCCAGACTTGGAGTGCGGGCAACAAGAAAGGAGGGAGAGCTTCTCTGAGAGCAACAAGGACAGAGGTAGTTTGATCCCTCCTCTTGACCCCTTGCCTCCCCCCCAACCCCTGACCATTTCTCTGTCCACAGTGAATTGAATCATTGACTTTCCATTCCTGCTGCTGAAAAGCTTGCTCTCAACATCTATAGAAATGTTCTGATCTGTCCACCTGGACCCTGCCAACAAGCTGTGGGTTTTAGCCTGAGCTGGGCTCTCAAAGCCCCCCATTGGTTCCTAACCTTCCAGGTCACAGGGCAGCAGTTTCAAAATTTTTCTCCTCTCACCAAGTCACCAGTTCTTCAAACACCTGTTCTAATACAGTGTCAAGTGTGGTTCTGGGCCAGCGGCATCAGTATCCCCTAGGGCCCCACCCAAGTCACACTCTGGGGCAAGAATCAGTGCTTTCATTAGCCCACAAGCATGGAGAACTATTGCTCTTATCTTTCGGGGCTGGCTTGTTTTAGACCTTTCCCTGAGTCCTGTTCCTCCTCTCCCTGCACTCTTAATTCCTGAGGCCCCAGAAGCCCCACCTTCCTGAGAAGTCTACTCCATAGACTCCAGGATTCTCTTTCCAACAACCTAGTCAACATCCTCACGCAGATTTCCTCAAACATAAACCCAAACCAAATTGCTCTTCTCCCAACCCATCTGCTAAGCCCACCACTCCATATTTTGTATTTTTCTCCTGACTGATTTCATATTTCTGTTAATGGTCTCATCTCCCAGCTTCCAGGCTGGAAATCTCCCAGTCTCTCCTGACCTCTCCCCCCTCCCCACAGAAACTCTAAAATCATCTCTTTAGTATCACTTTCACCATCTATTCCCATCTATCCCCCAGGCCACAGTCCAACCACGGTCCTCCAGCACACTATCTCCATCATCATCTTAAAAAGAAAAGCTTAAAGGGTATATCTTGTCATTTTTAGTCTCTGCTTCTTTATAGGCCTAGCCTCAGTGCACCCTTTCCTATGTCTTACAGTTGCCACCTATTTGGAAAGATGAAGGAACTACCTAGTGTCTATATGTAGCCACGGTGGGCATGCTTTCACGGTCAGCATCCAGGAAGGATTGCCATGGGAAGAGCCTTCATATGTAAGTTGGCTACATTTAAACCAGTCTTCCCACAAGGGCTTTCACCCTGCAGACACCTAGGTTATTGCTAGTTCTCTCCACACTCTGCAGGCAAGGGTGTCTTCGTTTCCAAGATGTAACACTGGCTCTTTCCCCAAGCCATGTGGCTAGTAAGTGGAAAGCTAAGATTTGATCCCAAGCCTCTCTCTCCCTCATCCCACCTTACTGCCTCATTTTATATGACTGAAGTCTTATATTAAGGATGTCCTCTATCAATAAGCCAAGCTCCAGACCGATTTAAGTCCAACTCCAGTCCATTGCTATGATCAGGTAAGCTTAACCAAGCAACCTGGTCTCTAGTTTGCAACAAACTCAAACCAACCACAAATGTGTCTTCTTTCATAGCAGTGCAAAAAACAGAGAACCAGGAAATGACTGGCTTGGACCCAGCATATGATGTTGTGCTTTGCTCTGGGATAGTCTAGGAAGAAACCCTTCAAGTAATTAGCTGGGCTGGTCACCAGGTGATCATGCATGAACACCATATAATTCCTTCATCTCCCCAACTGGTGCCAACTTGTAAGATGGAGCGGGTAACACGAGGATAAGTCTAAAGAAGTATTAAAATCACTCAATTATATATTTTCCCAGTTGCTCTGTACATCCTTGTTCTTATGGGCAAACTGGCATCGGTTTAGAGAAAATAGAGAGACAAAAAGAGGCATGCTGCTTTTCCTGTCCCAGAGAGTACAAATGAGAACACGACACATGATAAAGAAAGCATCTTTTATAGGTTTATTGGTCCATTACTTTAAGTTAATAGAGGTAAAGAAACCTTTTCAAATTTACAAGCTAATAGTTTATCAAGCAATACAAATTCTTTTGTTTACCTCAAAATGTAATACTAATCCCATAGTAAACAATGAACAGAATTTTTTATACACAGATATATGGAAAAAAGTGGACAAAAACCTCGTGCCAGCATCAAAAATGCAACGAAAAAAATTTTTTTTTCCTCTTGACAGTCTCTGGGTTCCATAACAAGGGGGAAGAGGGAACATTCTTTTTGAAGGTTGGTGGCATCACGAAACAAAGACTCCACCTGAAAGTAAAGCACATCTCATCTACACACATTCGGGAGCACTTTTTTTTTTCATAGCTTTTGTTTTGGCTTAATGGCAATGTGGAGAAAACAGAGGACTTGATCAATACTTCAGAGGGTTTTTTTTTTAATTTTTAAATGTAAAGAATGATTTCTAAAAATAAGAAGCACATTCCATCATTTGGACCTGACTTAAGCAAAAGTTTTTAAATCTCTTTTTAAACTGTTAAAATACAAGTTAGAAAGTTTGCTGGCAGTTGATTTCATGGGAATATATCAGATGCACATCATCTCTCCAGGCATTCCCAGCTCAAGGACATCAGGGAACCAGGCACATGGGGCCAGTGGAAGGGTGTCTACTGGACAGGACCGTCTACTGGATAGGACCAGGTGAGCATGCTGCGCTATGAGCTGCTGGTTAGTTATCTGATGAAGGCCTGGCTGATACAGGTGTCGCTTCATCATAGCGATTCACATTTTTGTTTGAAATCTACCTTCCTCTCCCCATTTCCACACTGGAAAAAGACATGATTCTCCCTTTCCTCCTTCCAGTATCATTGTGACTGCAGGGTTGGTCTGAAACTAAACCAGCCTGCCAAACAGGGGTGTGAACAGGTGTGAACAGGTGTGACCAGCTCCAACCTGGCCCACAGGATGCCCATCTTGGCCCAGTGGGGACAGTGCTGCTGGGGGAGGTGGGTGCAACACACAATCGCTGGTCTCAATCTTAAAGGCTCTGTTAAAATGGACAAAGTTCCATCAGTCAACATAATTTGTTTTGGTTTTGGCATTTATTTTGACCTGTGGAGGATTTCTATTTGAAACAAGCTGCTCTGAGTCCCCACAGTATCTTTTAAAAAGCTATTTTGTGGAATCGGGGTAAACCTTTTAATATTGTCCTAATCTAGAGAATTCTTTGTATCTGTGTGATTTGTCAATGCTGATTCCTCATGCCCTCTACAGTCACAATGTGCCAGGAGGCACTAAATTAATCTTTCACACTTCAAAACAGACAAACTAAACATGTTCGTGGTCCCTGTATTTCCTTACATTATCAAAAATATTATTTGGCAATAGCAATCCTTAGCTTTTTCCTCCCAAAAGGCAATCCTAATTTTGACCCTCACGTTCTTGTGTCTTTCTTGAAGAGGACTGAGAACCGGCTGTGTCCGAGCTTAGCATTTAAGCTGAATGACTGAATGCTTTTTTGAAAACTCCTTCTGTCGAGAATTGAAAAAACACTAGTTGAAGAATAAGGCGTATGTTAATAGTTGTTGAACAATTCTCAAAAAGTAGACTTAGGCTTTTAACAGTCTGTGGCATTTTCAAAAGTCTGAATTTGTTGGTTTTCAAGTGTTAAATACACGGGATGTTTAACAAACCAATTATCTTGTTGGTCTGTTAAAGTCATTTCTTTCAAAGTATTTATTTACAATCTATCTGTAGTAGTAAAAGCTACCTGGATAACAAATTCTTCTGCCACATAAAAGGGTTAGACCGCCGTACCCAGGATGCATTTCAAACATGAATGATTAAGGAAGATCAGTCAAATCTCCTGCAACTAAGCCCCCTCCATCTCTGCTAGTCTAGAGGGTTTTGCGTGTGCTCTAATCTGTGTACCTAGACAGAGAGCAGACATCCTTCAAATGAAAAAACAAACCAGGTCCAGGGAGGGCTGATGGAAAATCAGGTTCCTGGCTTATTCACTATTAAGAACTACGAGAAAGAGAACTCCAGCACACCCAGCGCCATCTGTAAATCTGGCTCAAGGGATGACATTTTCCTCAAATTTACAGATAAATGCCACCTGCCCTCTGAAAAGAATGAGTCTAAGAAGTGAGCGGGTATGTCCCAGCTGTGACCTTCCTGTGGACTTTTGAAAGTAGGAGGCCAACCCAAATTCCCAGCATCATTTTGTAAATGAGGGTGGCTCCAACATGTTACCTCTGTCTTCTCAATAGGTTACCCAGTTTCCACAGGCCCTGAAATTAGGTGTCTAGGAAGGCAGGGTTCAGCACCGGGATGCCCTGCCCTGATCACAAGAGGCCCATTTTCTGAGCAGAAGCACTGTTTAGGGCAGAACAGAACCTGGTCTCCCCACTGCAAGACCCAAACAGATGAGTCTATACAGGCCTTAGCCCTAGCTGGCGTCTGCCCCGGCTGCTTGGAATACAGTGCATAGGATGATTATTCTGCAGCCTGATGAATGGTGCTGAGTCAGAGCCAGGGGCCAGCGGTGTCAACGCCACACTGCAGGGCCAACTCAAAAGAACTCTGGGTGTTCTGGAGCTGATTTCATCTGAGAGAGAAACCTCACTCACAGACAGTGACTCAGCCATCATGCCCTCACACTAAAGTAGGACTTCCCATGGTCCCATCACTAGAGGCAACCTCATAAGAAACAAGGAGCAAGTTTGCAGTTTTCTCACGTGGATGGCCACCGAGAAAACATATTCAAATCAACATGGACAGCGCCCTCTGGGTGTGGCTGAGATTTGGCAAGACAAACTTCTGTTTCATTCACCCTGATCTCCGGAGTCATGCTGGTTTTTGTTTTTCAGCTCAAGAAAGGTATCTGGTGAAGCTAAGCAGCAGCACCGGGAAATACGAGCTGGCTGCCTCCATAATCACACCGATCTGAGTTCACCAGGAATCACTCTGAAGGCTTATTAAAGGATAAAGCCCAACCCCGAGTCCAGATGTGGAGCATGTTCCCTGCTGCCTTAGTGGAGAGGCTCCTCGTTCCAAGAGAGGAGCTAGAGTGTGAACAGGAGCGGTGTGTGCACACTTGCTAAGACCACACACATGTTCTTCAGGGCCATAGCCAGCTCAGTGTTTCTAAGAACTCTCTTCAGCCCTCTCCTAGGTTTTTAAGCTGAGTGAATGAAACCTTTCACTTCCCAGGCTGCAAGGGCAGTTGAAGGAATGACACTCATTCCTCTGCCAAGACTTGAGTCTCAAAACCTGTCCATGTCTGTCTGCCCGAGGTAAGGCATGTCCTCAGGCCTAGATCTCCTGGAAAATAAAAACTAGGGAGAAGCCAGTGATCTCAGCACCTCGATTCTGTGGAGCCTGGAAGGACGGGGTGAGGAAGCCTCTGGGAGGTAGTCTTTGGCACAGAAGTCTCTGAGTTAAACTTCTCATAGGGAACCACCATTGTGCTGATCCATGAAAAGGGCAAGGCTTGGGGATGCCGACCCCCCAGGGGCCCAACGGGGCCTTGCAGGTGGGAAGGGCTGGAGAGTCTCCTTCACGAACTGCAACTCCCTTCCTTCTGGGTCAGCCTCCTCCCCTCATCAAGTCAAGAAAGGGACAAGAGTCCCTTCTCTAGAAAGATCATTTTTCCAAGGAAGTCTGCACCATTCACTTGCTTCCCAGCTCCACTACCGATGCTGGGGGACCAGGTTGTTTTGCTCCAGGCTCCCCGCCTCCCCTGGTGTCTTAAAGCATAGGAACATCACATGGGGACCAAACAGAGAAGGAAAATCCCAAGAGGCTCGAATCCTTTTGCCTTCAATAATGAGAGCGAATGACTGTGTCCCCCAGTCTCCTCCCCGTATAGCCCAGCATGGAAACTAATGGGTTTTGTGGTTTTTTTTTTTTTTTTTTTTTTTTGAAAGGCTGCCTTCTTTCCCAACTAATACTTCCATGGGAATGTCCCTGGACTTTGGCAACTAGCAACAGACTCTGATCTTGCTGTAACCTTTTTCACAGTTCTTTCCAGCATTCTTTACACTGACATTTTAAAAGCACATTTCCACAAGGCAAGGCTGGCTTCACACCTAACCAAGGTGAGTATTTGCTGCTGGATTAGTCATGTCTTCTGCCAGGTATTCACAGAGAGCCATCAACCCACTATTAGACATGTCCCCCAATTATGTCAGGCTGGACCACCCATCCAGACCCACAGCAACACGATGGTTCAGAGGTAGAATGAAACACTGAATCATCACTCGGGGCAGAGGGACTGTCCCTACCCTTCTGCCTAGTGAAACATTTCTAATTGTACCACACTGAAAATTCACATCAAAGGATCTGGGCATGGCACGGATGGGGTCTAACAGTACCAACTGTTATCAAAATTATATTTTAAACTGCAACTTTTTCAGACATGATAAACAGAACCAAACCATTCTGTGCCATCCAATTATCATCCCAACAGCCTCCCAGCTAGAGCTAATGCAAGGTCAAGTCAGTGGTGAGAAGGAGAATCAAGTGCCTTCCACACGCTGCGCGCCGACGGACGTTTGCAGGTTAACCTGCCTAGGCAGCCGCGCCTCAGCACCACTGTTCCATTAAACCATTTACTGGAGGCTCGGATGTGTGATTTTATGGGGATGAGCATAAAATGAGGGGCCAGAAATTACATGTAGCTTCACTTCAGGAGGAAAAAAATGAGCTAGAAGACAGATCCTTTTGGCCTGCCTGTTCCGTGTTGATTTGAAAAGTAAACCTGGTCACAGTTTGAAATGACGTTAGCTGCAGCCAGCAGCCCTCAGGAATTAGGCCACAAATTGAGGCTTCTAACTTAGCAGCCAAGAGCTGCTGCTGCCCTTATCACCTGGCAGGCCTGTCCAGGTGCTGACCTTTCCTCCTGACCAGGAAATACTTAGTTAAAGCACTTTATGTAGAACATTCACACTGAGTTTACCAATCTCGACAGTGTCGTAACAACATACTAGCCTCTCACCAAAAAGCTGCCTAACACTCAGTGGACATGACAGAAAACATTAAGCTAGAATTTTTGGTGAGGTAAAGGCAAATTGCACAAAGCAGGCGGCAGAGGTGGGTTTGGTATATGCCCACAGATCTCAGCAACCTGGGCGCTGCTGACTTCACGACCACAGACACCCCCTGACTGGCCTAGTCTCTACTCCAATGACATGTGACAAGCCAAAGAAAAACATTGAAGAGCTTCACAAAGAAAAATGCACCTTTTTTTCATTTTACACAAAGACAATTTCCAATCTACTGCATTCTAGTGTCAGAAACAAGTTTGGGGAGCCGGGGAGCAACCCCCCCTCCCATAGCTTCCCAAGGCATAAAGACAAGGATGCTGGCCTGCTCATGCTGCCATGGATGCACAGAGGCACAGAGTTAAATGGCCAGGTATGAACCAGGAACCATAAAACAGGTGTCCTCATCACAAGCAGGTGCAGGCCACGCTCACAGGTACAGACCACTGAACATTAAGAACTTCACACAGAGATGCATCCCCCTCCTTCTAAGCTGAGACAAGTCAGTGCCCATGGAGGTCAATTTCAGAGCCGCCAAGTAGCCAAAGAGAGCAAGAGCTTCTGCTCAGGCGGATCTGGGTTCTCTCCCGCAATAGGCAACTCCACTGTCCTGTAGTGTAAACTGTCATGAGATGGCAGAACGTCTGCCACGGGCTGTCTTGACCCCGGGTCTTGAATCTTCATAGTGTTCCATTCGGTTCCTTCACAACATGGAGGTATGCTTTTTTTGCTGAGAGATGATTATAGCCTTATAGACTCCATGAAGGAATAAATACTAGTTGAAAATAACTGTCAGACAAAGGAAGGGGAAGGGAGGAAAAAAATACACAAAGGAGAGATGTTTCTGTGGTTGTTTTCCCAGTGCGCTGCCTCTGGTACAGCAGGGACATTCCGGTGTGGGGTGCTGTACCCCATGTAGTAGGTAGAAGAGTCTCTGTCCCAAGAAGAAACTTACTTGGCCTCTTGCTTCTCCTGCAACAGTGGAATAATAGACTCCCACGCCATGAGGCACTGAAATGACAACACACACACACACGTGTCAGCATCAAGTTGCAGATTTCAGGGTCAACTTCTTGATTCTGCCCCATCTCACCCTTTCACCATCCATCCCGCTGGGTCACCTCTACTGAACCAAGCCTATGTGGATGATGTTAAAGGAGAGGCAACAGGTATGGGTTTTGAGTATATCACCCCATCCTAACTGCAGTCGGCAGTGTCTCTACACATTGTCCATCAAGTTCATGAGCTAGTCTGTAGAAATTCACTCAAAGAAATTCTTCCTTTCAAAGATCAGAAAAGACAGCAGTTGTGGGCCCTTGATGAGGCCCAAGGTTCCCAGCCAGGATAGAGACGCGGCTCCAGGGCAGGTGGTGCTGGGTGCGGGTGACATTCACAGCGGGTAAGGTCAGCCCCTGACCCAGAGAGGCGGCTTAAACCCACTCTCCTTCATCAACCTTGGCTTTGCTTGTTTGGGCCCCTCCTGGATTTCCCAAAGTGAAAATGGAGGAAGGGAACCCCATATTGTTGAGTTTTATTATGTCCCAAGAACTGTAATTCATTTTACATTTGCTATCACTAGTCTTCCTCGCACCTTTATGAAGCAGAGTAATTATTTACAGATGGGGGAAATGAGACACAGAGAGGTTAAATAACTTGCTTGAGATGTAGGCAGGCAGAGGCGGAGGTTGAGGTTCCACAACTGATGTTCTTTCCACTATGCCAACCCCCTTTCATTTCAGAACCTTATGAAAGGCCATGAGCTCGGAAGACTCTACCTTCTCCTCTGAGAACACCTGCTTAGTAGACACGACCCTAACTTTAAGCAGCCCTGGCCTCATGGGAGGGACAGGAGATCCACACAGTCCTCTCCTAGAAGCAGCCCAGGTATGGACAGGAGTTGTGCTAAGTCAATGGGGAGGAGGTGGGAGAAGAGCAGCGTCCTCAGGCTAAGCGGACACAGGAGTGGAGAAGTCACTCCCCAGCTCCTGCTTGGGGACTCTGAGGTCAGAGAAGCAGTGGGACTTGGACCCCAGCCCATAGAAGGAAAGTGAGCCAGCACAGGATGCATATCATCGCAGGTCCTGCTCTCTCCCTAGCTGTCAAATGAGAGGTACCGATCTGGAAAAGTCGTTCTATGTCAGCCATAGGGAACTCAGGACACACCAGTTTTCTTTCTGGTCCTCAAATGCTCAAGCTTTTTCCTACCTCAGGCTCCTCACATATGTTGCCCCCGTTGCCTGGAATACCTGTTCCCTAAGTCTCTGACACTGGGGATGCAGATTAAGTGTTATTTCTTCACATTGACCTTTCCTGCTGCTCCACCTGCATACCTGCGTCCCTCACCTGAATTATGCCCCCTGGTACCTTCTACCCCCGCTTCCCATCCTCCTGGAGAGCACTGAGCTCACTTTGAAGGGGTGGGATTCCCAGATGAACAGGTGTGTTCCACTAAAGGGATCCCGTGCATACAGCAAGTGCATAAGAGGAGTTCTTTAACGCGTGCAGCTGCCCAGGTAAGGCCCCAAGGCAGTGACCTACCCACAATGAACATGAATACATGGCTCGGGTTTGAGTCTTGGGACGGGGGACGTTGGGGTCAGTCACCAAGAGGAGTGAGGAACACATCCGACCAAGTGTACACCTTGCCTGGCTACACACTGGGGAGGCCGCTGAAGAGCGGAGGGAGGGCAATGAGATCAGAGAAGATAGCAGCATTTATGGAGTGTCCGCCACAGGCCAGTGTGCGCCAGGCACTCAGGTATACGCTGCTTCACTGTGTCTGCACAACAGCAGGGAAGGATCACTCCCATTGGGAGGACACTGAAGCCCCAGATGTGAACTTCATGGACAGTGCACTTAAGCCTGTAGAGACATGACGCCTTTAGTTGAGATGGGGCAGCTGCATTCAGAGAGGCCTTGCCTGGTGGGGGAAGCTGGCATGACCTTTCCACCTTGGCACAGTCAGGACTGCTGAGGACACAGTCCCTGCCCCCTGCGCTGCTGGTGGTGGGGGAATCTTTAGACTGGACCGGTAGACACAAGTCCTGTGAGTTCAGTCACTCACAAGCTGGATAACCTTGCACAGAGTTTTAAAACCTTGCTGAGCTGCTTCCACATCATGAAACCCCCTGGACAGTGTTCTGGTGAGGGTTAAAGGTGGTGGTCTCTGCACAGCATCCACCAGGGCCAGCCAGACACACCACAGGGGCTCCATCAAAATGGCACCGTGAAAAGAACTCTGTCACCCTCTCTCCCCTTCTACAATAGTCCTTTCTAAGGCCTGGCAAATGAGGGCCAGGCCATGACTGCCTCCTCTACTCTCCTCTAAATAAAGATGTGGCCACACTGGCCCCTGAACAGCAGCCAGAACTACCAAAGACCCCAAAAAAGATGAATCCTTCTAGCTGGATAAAGACATGTTTCTAGGGATGTGCAGGGAATTGCTGAATGAAGCTTGTCTAACCTGACCTGGAAGTCTACAGGTTACCTGTTGAGTTGTGATCAGGCTGATCATCTGAGACTTAATCCTTTAAGGAATATTAGGATTCATTAGCAGATCTGATCTGGAGCTGTGTATTCTAGGAGCAAACCTTGACTGAGGAGAGACTGAGCTATGGCGTGAAGTGCGGTACATGTGCGTGTGCTTTCACCTCAGGATGCTTAAAGCCCATAAATCAAGGTGATTCATGCTTAAAGCTGTTTTCAATAGTTTTCCTTTGCAATCCTACATACCTGTATTTTAGGTATTTACAAACAGTACTTTAAAATCTATTTTTTAAAAAACAAATCATACTTTGATCAGGGGCCCTCAGGTTTCACCAGATGTCCAGAGGGATCCACGGTGCAAGGAAGGGAAAGTCCCCGTATGTTGGTTCACAAGGCAGCTTAGAGAGGGCCCAAAGCCTCCGTGACCGCAGCACCTCTGGCTGCAGGCCTGGCGGACTCTGGCAGCAGCTCACCACTGGGACCCACAGGCACAGAAAACTGCTGCTTTGGTCAGCAATGTGCATGTGAAATCCCCATGGGCACCTGGAAGGCTTCTGCTTCCAAACTCAGCACAGCTTCTACATGGCAGGGCAAGGACACAGAGGAGCTGCTAAGACTAAACATAAAACAAGGGTGGCTATGGCCTGGCGGAGCCCCACTTCTAGATTCCTGGCAGGTCTTGCTTAAGGTCTGGCTATTAGAAATGCTTCCTAGATGAGAGGGCTGTGGCCCCAACAGCAGGCTCATTACCTTCTCATAATACTGGATGTTCTTGTCTGCCATCCCCATCAGCAGCTGCCGGAAGTCCTGCCTCTTGTTGTTCTGCCACCGCTCCATGTCAGCCTTCAGATCGGCGTTGAAACACTCCATCCGGTCCTGACATTTCTCAACATCTGCAGGCACCTGGAAAGTGGACACACAAATGGGTGCTTTGTACATGGAACTATATCTCATTTCTTGATGCCTCTCCTCACATTGGTAAAAGGCCAAAGGACTCATTAAATGCTGTAAACACACTCTCTCCTCTGGAGGCATTTACTTGAAGGCAGTTTTAGGATTTCAAGTCTAAAAAGGAATTCAGAAAAAGGCTATCCTGACCCAAATCTTCAAACTAACCCCAGTACAACAGAAACTCATGGGGAAATAGGCCCAGAATACAAACAGGAAGAAGAATCATTCCCATTCAGAGTTATATACCTTTCAGGGGTATAGCTCAGTGACAGAGCATTTGACTGCAGAGTTATATACCTTTGGTTCCTTTTTAAGTCCATCTATACACAAAAATGTGTATGTGCTTCACCTTCTTCTGGTTAGTACTATCCACCTTATAAGACTGTTTTTAGATTAAATGATATAAGATGCACAAAGCATTTGGTACGTAGCATATATTAAGTACTCAACAAATATTTCTTCGTTCTTACCAATATGAATACTATAAATTGTTAATCAAGAATTATTTGCATAATAAGAATATTTTGAGTTTTAGTCTATGTCTTATAAAAAGATTCTTTTCATTTTCCAAATATAAGCTATTATAAAATGTTTCCAAATATAAATTATTTCTAAACTACATTCTTTTGAGCTTTATGCTACATTTTACCCATGCGACCACACCCTAAGATTTTCACCAGAGATCAAAGATGAGTCAACACCAATTTCTATTGGCATTGAGAGCATCCTGGGCACCATGGAATCAGGGTGATGCATATAACACCAGAAGGACAATCTGCTGGAGCCAGACTGACAGATTTGGCAACCAGTTGTACATGAGAAGTAAGATACAGTATGATGGAGAAGAGCTGCAAGTTTCTAGTCTGGGCACCCAGGGTACCAACAGTCCCCCAGGGCTCAAGGAAAAGACAGGTCCACAGACCAGACAGGGGGTAGCTGCAGCTGGGCAGAGGTGAGACCTCCTTCCACATGGCAGGGTTGAAATATCTCAACAACAAAACCAACCACCCCATTTTAAAATGAGCAAAGGCCTTGAATACACAGTTCTCTAAAGAAGACAAATGGGTAAACACACATGGAAAGCTGCCCCATGTCACTAATCGCTAGGGAAATGCAAACCAAAACTACAGTGACAAACTACTCCACCCCCGTCAGGATGGAAACTACCCCAAGTCAGGGAATAACAGGCGTCTATGAGAAGGTGGGAAAATTGGAGACCTTGTACACGCTGGTAAGAATGTAAAATGGCACAACTATGGAAAATGGTATGGTAGTTTCTCAAAAAATTAAAAACTGAATTACCAAAGGATTCAGAAAATCTGCTTCTGGGTATATACCCAGAAGAATTGAAAACAGAGTTTCAAAGAGATATTTGTACATCCATGATTATAGCAGTATTATTCACAATAGACAAAAGGTGGAAGCAACTTAATGTGTCCCTCCATAGGTGATATGGATAAACCAAATGTGGTATACACATACAATGGAATATTATGAAGCCCTTAAAAGGAAGGAAATTCTGACACATGCTTAACATGAATGAACCTTGCTATTATGCTGAGTAAAATTTGTAAAATTTGTCCAGTTACAACAGGACAAATACAATATGGCTCTATATATATGAGTAGTCAAATTTATGAAAACAGAAAGTAGTGTGGCAGTTACTAGGCGCCAAAGAAAGGAGGAAATAGAGTTCCTGTGTCATGGGGACAGAGTTTCAGTTCTGCAAGATGAAAAGAGCTTTAGAGATTGGTTGCACAATAATGTGAATTTACTTAACACTAAATTGTAGACTTAGAAAGGATTCAGATGTTAAATTATGTGTATTTTGCCATGATTTCATTTTTTTAAAGATTTATTTATTTACGAATACAAGAGCTGGGGTACAGGCCAGAAACGCAGGGGGTGAGAGGATTCACCAGAGACAGCAGGGAACAGAACAGGCGGACTGACTGAAATACACTGCTGAGGGGAGCAGCAGGCGAGGCAGGAGAGGTATACGTCACCATGTGGGTTCTCCCTGGCTGGCCGTGGATCAAACTCGTGCTGCAGAGGTTGCAGATTGCTTCATAGTGTGGTGCTTAACCCCTTGAGCCACAAGGGAGGCCCCATTTTTTTAATTATCTAGAGAATGAAGGAGGGGCTGAGGTAGGGAGGGATGCAGGGTAGAAGTCATGGAGAGATCTAGGTTTATAGAGTCAGAGAAGGAATCAGCACAGCTCACCTCAAAAAATGGGGACAGAACAGAAAGAGAACCAAGAGAGCAGAGCCAAAGAGCCACAGAGGTGTGGGGGGTTAGGAGAGAGATGAGGGGCAAAGCTTAAAAAGACAAGAATAAGAGGAATTAGGGTGAAGTGCCTGAAGTGACCCAGTTTCTGGAGCTGCCCGGCTGTGTGAAGAGGAGGGCAGCTGCCACTCAGGCTCATTCTTTTCACTTTTGTTTCTTTTTGGAACCGATTCACTGACCAGCAACATCCAGCGTCCCTTCTTATCTCCATGTTTCAGTTTTCTCTCTGAGGTACTGTGCGAGTTATGCTACCATGTATCTGAAGGACGTGGAGGTGGCAATGTCCAATGCTAACGGTTGGGGGCCGCTTATCACAAGACACCAAGAAAAAAAAAATCACCAGATAAGACTTCAGAAGACAAAAAACTTCTAAATAGAAAATAAGACTGCATTTTTTACATTGGCTCCCCTATCTCTCACCAGAATATCCAGGATAAAATATGGGTTGTTGGAACTGGAGGGTAATGTGGGAGGAGACTAAGCATTTTGTGTACTGGGGAGCAGGGTGATAATGTAATTCACTGATAATTTAATTCATTTAAAAATGTACCACTGAGCCCTTTTCATGTGCTGGTCCTACAATATAAATTTCTGCCTCAGTTTCCTTCTTGGAGTTAGGCTAGAAATGGCAGGTTATCAGCTCCTAGGGTGACAGTAGGTTTATGAAGCCCCCAGTGACTGTGTAAGGCAGACACGATCCCAATACTTAGGGGAGAAAGGGTTCATGAACCACTTTTGTGGTTGATGGTGGATGTGACCTCTGCCTCATGAGTCTGGTTTTCTCCCCCCAGCTCAGATGATGGCTGCTGTGGAGAAATTTGGGAAACACCAGGAAAATATCGGTCCTCACTTATCACAAGTATCTGCAAATAACAGAAGCCCTTGCTTAACTGGAAGGTCTGAAAAACTCCATGATAAGGAGTCTTCCATCCACTTCTGCCCTTTAGAACTCAGTTCCTGCTATTCACTAAATCTTCTCCATTCCAGCATGTTGGTCATTCTGGTGGCACTGGGCTTTCAAGGGTTCACAGACTTCTTCAAGAGTTTTGTCCAAGTGACCCACCATCTTTGTCCCCTCCCCACTGCTCAAATGAGAAGCCACAGCCCAGGAGAGCCCCTCCCTGCTCCACCCACCTTCACTGCACATACCTTCTCACTCCACAGCAACACCACAAGCTTCAGACAGCTTTTTCACCTGACACTGTACCTGGTAGAAGGCCGCCAGGTTCAGAACCTAAAACAGCCTCCCTCTTTTTACCTTTTTAAGATAACTGGAAGATTTTTATAAAGCTTTCTCTCTTGACATCCCTTCTTTGTTCGTTCTTATTTTTAACTACTAACACTTGAATATATTACCATTGAAAAGAGTCAAACAGAGAAGAGAACAAAACATGGATGTTCCTCTAGGATCAGATTCTAGGATTTACATAGGCTGTGAGCTTGACAGATGCAGCATTAGGCCATCAGCCCCTACCACGTGCCTGTCATCTCTCTAATTGCAAAATTAAAATGAGGAAAACCAAGATTACATAAGCCAAAGCTCCCTTTGCCTGAGGAAAAATCACCTCAGGGTCTGCTGAGCTTCTGCAATTTAAAGCAAAACTTTCAGTTCCAGGATCTGAACAATGCCCCTCAGCTCAGGGACCTCATCAGCGTTTACCCTCAGCACATGCTAAGAAGCAGCAGACTCAGCCATGGAGCTCACCTCCTTGTCCTGAGGAGTCCCCTCCATCATAAAATTCAGAGCAAAGCTCATGGAGATTCATGAGGCTTCTTTGATACCACTCCATGGCTTCACAAACTCAATTTGGCCTCGCTTTTCAGAGCAACCTGCTAAGTATCACCTCAAAATAGACTCCTCAGATTTGTTAACATGACCAATTCCAGAATTTTCTTGTGAAAAACCCGCCTTCCAGCAGCAATCTACTGCTTCCCACACTCGGTAATGGACCTATGGCCATCTTGCTCCCGCTGTAAGTTATGGACAACAGGAAACTGGGTGAGTCCTTGGAGTAGAATCAGCCCTGACCCACTTCCTGATACCTAGTGTTCATCTCACCAGCAGCTGTTCTGGAAAGTAGGTCTCAAAACTACATAAGACAAAGAAAGCATAGCAAAACCTTCAGGACCCATGTCCTAGAGAGGTGTCCACCTGCTAACGGCAGGCTACCAGGCAGGGTGGGCATTTGGCAGGAGTGGGAAGGCAGGGGCCATCTGGAAACAAGTGTGGCAAGAAAAAAAACTTTAAATAGACAAAATAAAAGCCCTAAGTGACAACAAACCCAGAAAGCAAAGTTCTCAGCATTCCTACTCAAGGCGATTAGAGATAGTGCAGGAAGTAGGGGCTCCACACAGTGTGTGTTACCACATCAGACATTTTACATCCTCACAACCATCACCCGCAGGAATCCCACAAAGGTTAATGAGCAAATCAGTCCATGCTGGGATTTGATCTGATTGTAAATCCTGTGCTTTCTACTAGACCACAGCCACTTAGACAGGCGGCCTCCTCTGCCCACTAACGTGGCTGCTGCCACCAATGCAAAACTGGTGCCACCATTTCTGCTGCCCATACTGTTCAATCACACTCACTGGCACAGCACTGTCATGCTTGGTTGTGAAATATCACAACTGCCAAACAAGTAGCAAAATTGATTCTGGCCTGGCATGGTGTCCCACCAGAAAGAGGAAAGGTGAAGACTGCTTCCCATGGTGGGCTGAGGAGTGTGGGCGTGTTTGAAACCTACAAGTCAGTCTCACTGGCTGGAGAGAACGCTAGCAGCCAAGAGCTAAGGAATGCTACGTGGAACTGAGAACGGCAGTTGCAGGAAGATTTCCTGGGAAGAAGAGGAGAGTCACCCAGACCAACAACGAGGGCAGAGCATGAGGTGGGAAGCCCCAAGTTCAGCTGCATGAAAAGTGGGAGCCAGAAACAGCTGTCCCCTCTGCTCTGTCTGTTCCAAGGAGGATGCAGGGTTCCCTCAAGATTTAACTTGGCCTGTTATTCATCACCTCAGCTCCTGTCATTGGAAAGGAACTGTCCTGTACGGTGCTGAATGACATTAAAATGACAAAAGTGGCCTCTGAGAAAGCTTATATTCAATGCTGAGCAGGTATGATGCTGACAGAATTATTAAGAGACACCTTTTAAATACAGGATCCTCAGCTTCCAGACTAGGCCAGCGGCATAACCTGCTATATTATCTCTCCTTCCCAACCCAGCCAGGAAAAGTGACTTCTATATTTATATTTGGGAGATATATTGTCAGAATGAAATTTTGAAATATATAAACAGTATTCAAGGCCATTCCTTTAAATGAGACTAAGACATGAGCTTAGCAGATGCATCATGATCTAGAATATCACAGGAGCCAGCTACAGCAGGCACCCTGCTCTCTGGCCACATTCCAGCTGCAGATACTGGGTGAGTGACAGGAATCCTAACCCTCATGGCTTCACGTTCCCTAGGATACAAACAGACTTCCCTTTCTGGTGTAGATCCCTATGGGTGACACAAGAAGCAATGCAACACACATGTATTTATGAAATGCTCACTGTGCCCTGCATGCCGGATGACAGCACTGCTGTCCACAGGGCCGGGCAGCTGATGGCGGCCACTTTGTGCCTTGTATCCTCACCCATGAATGGGGAAGGAACAGTGCCTTCCTCTGGGCCTGCGCGGTGATCCTGTGAAGCCACTGACATAAAAGAGCACTCAAGAGAGTCGCAATGTGATGCTTCTGAGCTTGGGCTGTGAATTCCCAAAGCTGGTTCCTTCCTGGGTCAATCCCTGCTCAGTGGCAGCCAGAGTCCCAGCACAGGAAGACAGTGCTTCTGACATCAAGCTCTTTCCATGAAATTGGGGCCCCTATTTTTTATTGTTTTAATAACATCCCCTACTTACCTCTTTTTCTAAATAAATACACCTTCCAGTTACAAACAAAAAGGAGTGGAGTAGCTTAATGGGAACTGTGGGGTGTAAGCCTGATGCTGCCCCTTGTATCATGAGCTCAGGGCCTCGGGCTGCCCATCTCTCAAATGGGAATAATAACAGCACCTAGGGGTCGTGGTTCAGACTAAATGAGATAATATACAGTGCTTATTAGCACACCATGAGCACTCACACACTGGCTATTAACATGACTTCTTTTTTGAGTCCTGGCTGGGGGAAAAGAAGAGCAACAAATGGAGTAACCAACACAACCGACGCATTTTAACAACTATGATCCCCAACTTGGACCCAGAGTGCCGGGGCTGGATGCAGCAAAACCAAGCTCCACCAGCGCTTCTCAGACTTTGTTAGGAAGGACGACCTTCTGCTGGCGTCCCCAGTCCAACCGGCCAGAGCGCAGTTTGCCCACGTGCTACCCGCCACACATGACAGCGCTCGTCCTGGGTGGCTGACAGGGGTCATGCTGCCGTGAAGGACCTCAAGTGTCAGCCCTTCCCTCATCACAGCTCAGGTGTAGCTTGTGGACAGTCTAAGCCACACGTTGATAACACTGCTCTAGGCTGCTCTCTCCTCTCCACAACGTGCTTTTTTATGGAGAAAGGAACCACCGGCAGCGTTTCCAGGAAATTGCCAAAAACTCATTTCCAAGTACATATATCTGGAATGCCCTGGAGACATAAAAGGAAGCAAAAAGGAGAACCGTGACAGCACAGGCTGGGGGCACTGGGCAGGGTATTTGAGTGCATCAAGGTCCCAGAAGCGCCCCTGACCTTGGGCCGGTCTTCCTTTCTCAGAACCACAGCTTCCAGTTTGGCTTCGTACTCTGCTTGCACTTGGTCCCTCTTCTTCAACACGCTCTGTGGGGGCAGAAAGGAGAAGCAGGTAGTAGCACAGATTTCACAAAGAGGCCTCCAAGTCCTTACCACATCCTCCCCAAATCGGAGCACACCCAGGCCCAGCCATGTGCTCCCACATCAGCCAGGCAGAAGCAGGCATGAGGGAGGGAGGAGGAAGCGAGAACCATGCTGGGAGCCTGAGCTTTCTAGACCAGTAACAGCCGGATGCTGAAAGTCACAGAATCCCAGGGAAGAGCAACTGGGAGTGCCTGTCCACAGCCACGCTGGTCAGAGGCCTCTCAACTGCCCCCAGAACAGAGAACTGGGCTGTGTCCAGCTTGGAGGTAAAATGCAAGTGTTCTCTGAACCATTAACAGAAAAGTCTAGGTCATCAGAGTTCTTGACTGTTTAATTCACTGACCCTGATCTCTGGGGGACTGACTGGACCAGGTTATCAAAGAACTAAGAGGGTGGGGCCCTACCTGCAGGGTCAGGTGAAGGACAGTACAGACACTGTACAAGTCTGCTGAGGAGTTATATACAAGCCTGGAATCCCAGGATGTGTGCAGTGAGCCCGCCAGAGTGGGTGGTGAGTGGGCCCACAGGGCAGCAGCGCCGGACAGGGCAATGGGGAGGCAAGCCAGGACCCCAGGATGGAAAATGTAAGGAGACAAATACAAGATCAGTACCTGGGTGTGAGGGTCTCCCTAAATTTGTGCCCTGGGTAGCTCCGCTGCCTCACCCAGTCCCAGTTCTGCCACTAAGACCTCAGTTAGGGGCCCTCCCTGCTTGCACAGGGGTGAAAGTCTCAATGCTGTCAGGCTATCACCAGCCACTGTGGCATGAGTTCGATCCCTGGCCAGGAAGCTGACCCACATGTCACAGCAGACGTCCCCTGTCCTGCCCGCTGCTTCCCTCAGCAGTGTATTTCAGTAGATCTACCTGTTCTGCTGCTCACTGTCTCTGATGAACCCTCTTACCCCCCGCAACTCTGGCCTACACCACAGTTCTTGTATGCATAAATAAATAAAAATAAATCTTAAAAAAAAAACCTCCGTTAGAACACCTATGTCAGACAAGGGCTTTTTTTTTTTTCTTTTTTCTTTTAGTAGAATCACAAATGGCAAATCAAGAGTAAAGAGAATTTTCTTTCCCACTAACTCAGAAGTCACAAATTGCAAGTTTCTAATCTCGCACTTTGCCCACTGGGACCTTCCAGAATGAGGAGTTGGGGCAACAAGAAGCCATTCCTGAGCTAAGCAGGGCCATCTTGTGTCTCTGACAATGTGTTAAAAAGGTGCCGGAAAACAGGAAACTGACACCCACCACCTAACAGGCTATGTCAACAGGGGAATATCAAATCCTCCCCTGAGGAATTTATTTCAAGAAGTGTTTCGCCATGAGAAGAATATGAGGTAAAACTGGCAATAGCTATTTTTCATTGTTTGCCACTCACTTTTCTCCTAAGTGCATGGAAGTTCCCTGCCCACGCTCACACCCTGTGAGTAGGGAGGTTTACAGTGCTGTTCCCAGAACTTTCTGCTTGACGATCTAGGAGCTGCAGTGACACAGCAGCCACTGGCCCCACTGACTCCTAACCTAGTGAACTGTGAACTTTTTTTTTTTTTTAAGATGTATTTATACAAGAGCTGGGGGTGCAGGCCAGAGGGGCAGGGATGAGAGGATTCACCAGAGACAGAGTGGGGACCAGAATAGGCGGATTCACTGAAACACACTGCTGAGGGGAGCAGCGGGCAAGACAGGAGAGGTCTGCTGCACCATGTGGGTAGCTCCCTGGCTGGGGATTGAACTCATGCTGCAGTTGCTGCTAATAGCTTCACAGTGCTGAGACTTAACCCCTTGCGCCACCAGGGAGGCCCTGAACTGTGAATTTCTGAAATGTGGCTGGTAAGACTGAGGAAGCGGGTTTAAATTTTCACTTAATTTATTAGAGTATGCGGGATTGCCCTAGGATGTGCTGGAGTGGCAGATTGATTATTCTGAATTAAGAAACAGCCAGCGAATGCTTCCAAACAGCAGGAATTTTCTGAACCTCCTCTCTATTCCCCCTGGAAGCAGGAAGTAATTCCACATGTTGGGAACCCTCTCTATAGAGATGAAGAGACACCCTTGCTCTCAGAGACAAGAGGAGAAGTTGTGTAAACATGCTGCCTAACTCCCTAAATTAGTTATCCGAAACAAAATTTCAAGAATTTCTGTAGCTTCTCTGTCTCCACAGATTTATTACTTCTTTGTCTAAAATCTTTACAAACTGGTCATTCAGAAGGTATGGTCATAATGGCACCTTCAGGGTATATGAAATTTAATTTTGTATTTTTCTTCTGTTAATCTGCCTTATATTGACTTAATTATTTTCCTGTTATGAGGATGCAGAAAGGTAGGAGGAGGAGGTTCATTTCCACGCCAACAAATTTCAACTTAAATAATCACATATGGCTGGTGATTATTTCTATAAATTCAAAGAAAACAACCAGGGATCCTGTCTGGATTTCATAGAGACCAGGAAATAATCTAAATCTACTGCTCTGGTACCAACTGTAGTAAAAATCATATTCTCCATCCAAGAGAAATAAACACATGATGCTGATTATGGAGACCAAGTGTGGCTCCCCAAGGAACAGGTGGCAGCAGAGAAGGCCCACTGGCATCCTTACTGCCTCATATTCTCTTCAGAGGACACCCCACACCTCACCGGGAAAAGCACAGATACCTACACTAGAAGAATGAGTCACTCCAGGGATATACCATCTGTAGTAAGAATGCCATAACCAAAGCTAGATATACTCTTAAAACAGGGCTTAGTATTCAATCAGCAGAATGTGGGGCTTCCTGCCTGCCATTCTGCTCCAAGTCCTCTGCTGAGGTTGCGAGGCCTTGAGGTCAGGAGGGACAGTGAAAAATATGTCAGCTCCACAGCTCAGACAGCCCAAATGCATGTCTTGTCCCTACCCCAAAGTCACTGTGGGAGTCCTAGGTTCAGCCACATTGCCTGCCCCAGTTACCTGGGCCTTCTCTGGCTCAGAAGTAGGGTTTCTGTCTCCTCAGTCACTGCCGTCCAACCTCACCTGCAGTGACCAACATGCCACCTTCTTGTGCAGGCTCACAAGAGGGTTTGTGCCAAGACCCCAGCCACACTAGACAGCAGAGAAGTGGCAGGGACCCCACAGGAGGGCAAGGGTGTGGCTCGAATTCTACAGACTGAGGTCCGGTAATGCAGGGATCTGGTTGAGGACACTGCTGATTAACAGCTCAGCAGTGACCAGACAGGCCCTTCCTGCTGTGCTGCAGGAGAGCTTGTGCTTCCCAATCCGAGTGTTGTCCAACCACATTCAACATCGGGAAACAGGTTTTGAATCGAGATAAACTAAGACTGCCACCCTTGTTGAGAGCACCTTCGCACACCACTGGTGAGGTTTGAAAGGACTGGCCTCCCTCCCCAAACAACACAGGCTATGTTGATGAAACTGGTCAAACCAGCCCATGGCCTTGGGCCTAAGCCTGCAATGGCATGAAAGGCAACAGCCCCGAGTTGGTAGCAACAGAAAGGTTCCTCCATCTCTGAGGAACAGCAAGAGATAGTCACCATCTGAGCTTCTCACTAAACTTTACTGGGACTGTGATTCTAGGGGGTACCATAAACCAAAAAGCCAAGTGCACGGAGACATTTTGAGTCCCTCTGCCCCTCCTCTGCACAGCCAGCCTCACCCACTTTCTGCTTTAATGAGTCTTCATTCATCTTTTCAGGTGTGAGGATCCAGCAGAGACAACACACACACCACTTCACGACCTTACATTTGAGAGGGGCAGCAAACAACACACGAGGAAAATACACTAATGTATAGCATGTGAGAGAGGTAGTGTTAGGTGTTAAGGAGAAAACACAAAACAGCAAAGAGGGTTTTAAGTGGTGAGGGTTTGGGGGATGGTAGAATTACACACGGCGTGGCCAGGAGAGACCTGGATGAGTTGGTGACTCCTAATCAGAGACATGGGATCCATTTCTCTCACCTGCTGTATCTTAAAATGCAAAGCATTTCGCCCCTATTTTGAAACAGTCCTAGTCAACAGTCCTAGCAACTTGACCACACTTTCTTTTCAAATGTAGAAAGGGTAAATGATGCTGCTTTTTAAATAAACAAATTGCAAGGAAAATAAATAGCTGGGGAGGGATTTTAAAAGTTTAAGGAACATCAACCAATGTGTAGATTTTATTTGGATCCCAACTTGGAAAGAAACCCATAAAAATGGTGTTTGAGAAAACTGGAAAATTGGAGAAAATGGGATATTTGAAGGAATATTGCAAAAAAAAATTTACATATGACATGGGTTTTTTTTTAAAAGAATGCTTGTATTTTAGAGACATGTACTAAATATTTTTGTAAGGAATGATATGATGTGTAAGATTTACTTTGAAATAATGAGGCACTGGGGGTGGGGAGTGGGTGGGAGCGGAGCCGGAACAGGATGGCTAAGAGTGGGGAGCTGTGGGAGCTGGCTCGTGGGTGCTGGGGGACTGTCCTTTCCCTCTACTTTTAGATTTGCTTGAATTTTTCCATAATAAAAAGTTAAGCCATGGAAACATTAATATCTGTCATCCAAAAAGTTTACAACAAATGAGTAACAACCATTAAACTAGCATGACAAAAGCACCTGGAAATCGGTCACAGATACATTTTGTGGTTTGGCTCTCAACAGCCACACTGGATTTTTTCCCAAGAAAGTGCCACAACGGTCATAGTCATCGGGAAAGCTCCACATCCCCGCTGCACCCCAGAGTGCAGGCGCACCTCTGCCCCTGGCAAGACTGTGGCTATCAAGCTTGGAGGAGGAGGAGGAAAAGGTAGTCCCAGAATAGCCCTGACAGAAAAGATCAGCAGTGACCAAAAAGCCTCCTCAGGTCTGGAAGGCTTTATGCTTCAAATCTTTTTGTGAAGAGGGACACTAAGATGCAGGGTTGGGGAAGTGTGTGGGTGCAGCAGACACGGCTCAGACACACTGAAGAGTGGCTCGTGGCCTGGTACGCCCGGGGCTGACAACCAAGCGACCCAACAGGAATTTGCAGAGAATAATGAGCACTCAATAATAAAGAGCAAATGAGAATAAAAATAAAAATGCAACAGTTCTGTTTCCTTTTGGGACAGGGGATGGCCCTCGAGGAGGGCATTTTCTCACAAGCAGGAAAATGGGTCTAACTTAGTCCTGGTAACATAATTTGTAGTTAAATGGTTGGGTTGAGGTTGTCCCTTTCGACACTCATTCTACTGACACGGGCCCACCTATGAGTTAAATGGTTTAGGGCAATGTGGTAATAATGAAACCATGCGTTGTCCCCTAATTTTAAAAGAAATTTGTCACAGGAATTTTGGAAAATAAAGATGAACATAGAGAAGGGAGAGAAATACATCCTGCTTGTGAGGAAATGCTCTCCTAGGGGGCCATCCCCTTCCCCAAAAGGCTACAGAACTGTTGCATTATTTTTTTTTAAAGATTTATTTATTTATGCACACACAAGAGCTGGGGTACAGACCAGAGGTGCAGAGGATGTGAGGATTCACCAGAGACAGAGTGGGGAGCAGAACAGGTGAATCTACTGAAATACATTTCTGGGGGGAGCAGAAGGCAAGACAGGAGAGGTCTGCTGCGCCTTGTGGGTAGCTCCCTGGCCGAGGATCAAACTCATGCTGCAGAGCCTGTGGATAGCTTCACAGTGCTGTGCTTAACCCCTTGCACCTCCAGGGAGGCCTATGTTTTTATTCTTATTCTCATTTGCTCTTTATTACTGAAAGCTCATTATTCTGTGCAAATTCCTTTTAGGCTCACAAGCAGCATATCGTGTCTTCATGCCTGGTTGTCACTCTTAAATAACTTCAGTGATGCTTCTCTTTCTCAGGGTTTCTCCGTGGCTGGATGGAATTGACCCCGCACTACAGATGCTACAGAGAGCTTCACAGCGCAGCACTCAACCCACTGCACCACCGGGGAGGCCCTCTCTGAGAATTTTTAAAAATTTTTGTTTGATGGTGGTAACATCACCTCTTCTCTTGTTAAAGCTATCCATGTTCCCGCCCTCCCCCGCCCTGGAAATTTTCTTCTCCCTCAAGGATGTTTCACTCATTATGCTTGAAAGTTTTTACATGATAGTCATAATAGAGCTTCCCTCAGTCTTGGGTGACCCCTGTCTGCCCACTCACCCGGGAGAGACACTAAAAATCCAATTAAAAGGTCTCTGCACACCAAGAGCTTTTGACATTCTCTACAGGGACTCTGCGGGGTCTTCCCTCAACATCAGCAAACCTCTTCTCTTGGTCTATTCAGCTTTTCTAGAAAAGGCTTTTTCAATCTTTGCATTGAAGATAAGAAGCTGAGAGCCAAGCAGGGGAAGATGACTAAGAATTTCAACATTCAATAACCTTTTACTCAACATGCTGTTGTTAGGACTTTAGCCCCCTCTCTCAGCCACCCCTGGCGTCCCTCTGTCCTCCGTTTTACCCCCTCGAGAGACTATACTTCCAGCTCCTCCAGAGAGGGAGTGGCCCCTATGGTGAGGAGAGGACAGAATCAGAAGCTACACTGCTTCTTAAACAGATTTCTGAATAATCCATCTCTCCCTCAGTCTCAGAGGTACCTGGTGCAGGTAAAACGTAAACCTTATGAAGATTTCCATGGTGTAAATCAGGGGCTCTTTAGTTTCTTCCCATCATCACCTATAAGGCAGCATTTTACAGTGACCTAAGTCCCTCATTATCTCTTCATTTGCCTTCTGTCCCCAAATTAGACTGCAATTGTTTCCCCTCCTGTTGTTGTCTTTTATTTTTTTAAAAATCGTTGTAGTGTTTCTTTGCTGCAGACTCATGTAAAGGAAGAAGTTGAAATATGTATTTAGTCTATCACCACTGGGGATCTCACAGTTTAAACTGTTCCACCCTCTATCTTTAAAGATATTTGATTTCATCGTGTATATTTCCAGACCCTGCTTCTTCATATTTTCAAGAAATTAGGTCCTCAACAGACAATCATTTTTGTTTAGAAAGGTACAGACCCCCTCCTTCTCTCAATTCAATGTTCCAGAAAACCTTCAGTTTCTGAAAGAGGAGAATTGTCCACCCCACGCATAAACTAGTAACTTCCCCACAGTCTGACTCATCAGCCCCACCTTGTGGATCCTGAGGGGAAAAGCAGAACACCATAGGATGAAATAGTGGACATTTGAACAGGGCTTTCCCAGACAATGTTCAAAGTATCTCTGCTCAAAGATAAACTCAGGGGCCTCCCTGGTGGTGCAGTGGTTGAGCGCTAGGTTGCGAAGTGCCCACAGCCTCTGCAGCGCAGATTCAATCCCCAGCTGCCAGGTGAGGGTCCCACATGGTGCACAGACCTCTCCTGCCACCCGCTGCTCCCTTCAGCAGTGTACTTCGTCGGTCTGCCTGCTCTGTTCCCCGCTCTGGCTCTGGTGAATTCTCTCACCCTCCTGCGCTTCTGACTATACCCAGTGCTTGTATAAATAAATAAATAAATGTTTTTTAAAAAAAAAGATAAACTCAGTCTTTAAACCCACACTTCCACATCCACATGTCACATGTCTTGGTTTGGCTGTAATATGCAGTATTCCAAAGGTACTGCCAGAAATATGGTAAGGAATCTAAGATGTCCCTTCCAGCTCTATCCTAATTACTTTTTACACACTTGTTATCTACAGGATGTAAAATCCCACATATGGACTCATGTACAGATAACCACAGGGTGTTTAACTTAAGTCCTGGGCCTGTGGGTAACTTGGGAACCCCACAAGGCATTGTTCACTCTCTCCCCACAGCAACCTTGGAAAACACATCCTCAGCCTCTTTCTAGTACAAGCTGTCCTCACTGTTCGCTGCTCCATCTGCTCCATGTGGCCTGATAAAAACCTTACATTTTCCATGCTTTCTCTCTACCTTCCAATGGAACAGAATGTACCCAGTCAGGATGTGTTTAAAGACAATTTGAGACAGAGCCCTGCAAAAAGCAGGAACTGATCCTGCTTGGCCAACAGAAAAGGCACAGACACAAGGTCTTTAGCACTGCACCATGAAAACAGAGAAAAGACCACAAGGCTCTGTTTCTTTACTTGTAAAATGAGCAAGTCAGATAAGATGATCCCAAAGACCTTTTCAAACTAAGAGAGGAACCCCAATCTTAGCCCCATTAGTAGATGTTCTATCTCCTTGAATTTTCAGAGAACACTAGTAAGAACCGCTTCCAAACCATTTTTTCACTTAATTCACAAACTTGGTTCACCATATGTTCCATTTCTATGTCACAACATCAGCCTATACGTTTGAATCTGCCCACATAGGAAGAAGGAAATTTTTACTGCACCCTATTAATTTTCAATAATGATTATAACAAAGTGTTAAATGCATAAGGAGTCAGCTTACCTTCATGCAGTCAGAATATAAAATATATTCCCTGAGCACAGGTAGAAAGTCTTCCGTCATGTCGTCTGTCAGCTCTTCCAAGGCTGTAGAGCAATTGCCGATGCAAGCAGACACGCCCTCCAGGGGTTCCGCCAGCTCGCCCTCTAACGCACTCCACGTGGAGTACACAGGCCCATATTCTCTCAGCTCCACAAGGTACTCTAAAAGAAGAGAAGCCAATAAAGGCCTATCTGGGTAGCAATCACTGGTATTACTGAGAACCCACCAAAGCCAGGAGTGCCTGACAGCAAGGTATGTGTCCTTGACCATTACTCACCTGAGCCTGCCCTTTTAAATGTGCTCAGTTTTTAACATAACTTTTCTTTCATCTCTAAGTGCTGGTATCACAGCAAACATCATAACAGCCATCAATTGACTGTACCCAACAGTGAGAATTCCATGCTTCTGATTAATGGGGACTCCAGAGCCTTTTGGGGAAACATAGAGGACCTACATCCATGAAGCATCTTCAGAAATCACCCCTTACTGATACACACAGAAAAGCAGTATCTTAGCAGGCAACGTGGGCAGAGTTTCATACAGGTTCAGGGGGCTATTTTTAAGAGGAAAAAAATCACTCATAATGGAATTTTAGGAAATATTTTGATACAAACGTGACCTTACATAAACAGATTCACTCTCTTGCTCAGGGGTCGTCCCCCATGCAGGGTCCCATCCAAATTTATTCCATGTGCTCCTTAAGTGTGGGTGGCCCCTGAGGCTATCTCCAATGCCAACAGTGGGTAAAGGAGAGGTAAGGCGCAGGAACAAGAAAAAATATTCATTTATGTTTCTTCACAAAGAAAATCTGGGCCATCACAAGGATTCTTGCTGTTATAATGGAATGTTGTCATTTGTTAGCAGTCAGTGAAGGGCACTTACTGGAGAATTCTTTCAAGGTGTTGCACATCACCTGCCAGCCACCATGATCATTCACATTGTTCTGGTTGTCTAGGCCACATATGTGTAAGAAAACAAAAAAGCCCCAATGTTTCGGGAAATAGCACAACAGGTGGCCACAACCAGGAATAATAAAGGCCTCAGTGACTTTCCAGGTCAGGGAGAGTGGGGGGACAGAGGAGTCAAATTCAAGTCTGAAGGCTCCTTGGGATCATAAGCTGATCAAATACAGGTCACCGTGCTGTCCTTGTGAACCATTTTTCTGTCAGAAAAGATAACTATGATGGTTTTTTAAGTTGTCATTCCTATGAATGAAAGACTGTTGAGTCAATGTCTACTTTTCATGCTAAGTTTAAGAGAAATAAAAGTAGAGAAACCTAGAGGCTCAAAAGTAGTTGCTTGCCATGGGGAAAGCAAGCACAAGGCTGAGAGGAGAGCAAAGAATGGAGCGCAAAATTATATTCTGGGCACTGCCTCTTTTCCCCTCCTCTTATGCATTGGGTTTATAAAGAAAGTAGCCCCAGTTCTGTCATTCCAGCATTTCTACAGGTGGATTCTGCTCGCACGCAGGAATGCCATTTCTGCAAATGTGGTCCTTGCACTGATGAAGATCTGGACAAAGGGCTCACCTATTTCTTCTTTGATGATCCGCTGAGCTATTCGGTCAATGGTTCCCAGTTTGAGTGCAAATGTATCTAAGTATTCACCGATGGCTGCAAACTCAAGAGGCCGACTCCTCAACTTGTATCCTCCAGTGACGTGCTTGACTGACTCGCCCACTCTGGTCAGCAGTGCCATCCCTTGCTTCTTGTAGGCATTCAGGTCCTAAGGATGACACGTAAACAAACAAACCTCAAGGGCGCAGTCATTCCCAAGGTCAAGATAAAATAGGACAATGCCTTCAAGTGGTTTCTTTATGGAAATGGAAGACTCTGAAAACACGGAAGTGAGTTAAGAGACCTAACCCTATTATATATACACGAGAGAATCCCTATTGCCATCATATCCAGCAGCCTCACCTGCCATATGTTTCTTTTAACAGAGTTGGATTTGTTCTAAGCAGGTTTACTCTTTAAACACACATGATTTTCAACGTAACTTTTCAAACCCTGACAAATGAAACAAAACAACAACACACCCATTTCTTCCACACAAATTATTCAAAGTTATCTTTAGGAGAAATTTTAAGAGTTGAGACTTATTCCATTCATTTACTTACATGCCAGCCAAAGCCATATAAGGAAGGTAGAGAGTGGAGGGTGGGGAGCAGGAAACAATGCAGAAAAGCAGTGCTGAGAAACTCAGGACAAGAGTGAAGAACAGAAATGGACTTATAGTGATGACCTTGGCATAGACACATGTTGATGCTCAATGATGAACACCTGAAACTTATAGAATGTTCTAATGCAGTGTTATTTCAACTTTTAAAAATTCCTTAGACAGCGGTATCAAGCTACAAGCAGCCACTGCAGCACAAGTTTAATCCCTGGCCAGGGAGCAACCCACATGGTGCAGCAGAACCTTTCCTGTCTTGCCTGCTGCTCCCCTCAGCAGTATATTTCAGGACATCTGCCTGTTCTGCTCCCCAGTCTCTCTGGTGAATCCTCTCACACATACAGCTCCCCCACCGCTGGCTAACATCCCAGTTCTCATATGCATAAATAAATAAATCTTTAAAAAAATAAATAAAAATTCCTTAAACAAGTTTTTAAGTTAAAAAAAAAAAACAATAAAAAACATCAGGCCAACATCCTACCAAAAGCAATATACAGATTCAATGCTATTCCAATCAAAATCTCAATGGCATTCTTCAAAGAAATAGAACAATTATTGATGAAATTCATATGGAATCACCAAAAACCCCGAATAGCCAAAGCTCTACTGAAAAAAAAAGAAGGAAATGGAGGCATCACACTCCCAGACTTCAAACTATACTACAAAGCCATAATCATCAAAACTGCATGGTATTGGCACAAGAACAGACATACAGACCAATGGAATCGAATAGAAAATCCAGAAATAAACCCACAGATTTATGGTCAACTAATCTTTGACAAAGGAGCAAAGACTATGCATTGGAGCAAAGAAAGTTTGTTCAATAAATGGTGCTGGGAAAACTGGGTCGCTACATGCAAAAGAATGAAGCTTGACCACTACCTCACACCATACACAAAAATCAACTCAAAATGGATTAAAGAACTAGACATAAGACCTGAAACCATAAAATACATAGAAGGAAATATAGGCGAAACACTACGGGATTTGCACATCAAAGACATCTTTACAGACACATCACCCAAAGCAGTGATAGTGAAGAGAAAGATAAACAGCTGGGACTACATCAAATTTAAGAGCTTTTGCACAGCAAAAGAGACAATAACAAAAACAAAGAGAAACCCCACCAACTGGGAGAACATTTTTGCACCCAACACTAATGATAAAGGACTGATCACAAAAATCTGCAAAGAGCTGATGAGACTCAGCAACAACAAAGAAAATAATCCAGTCAAAAAATGGGCAGAAGAGCTAAAAAGAAACTTCTCTGAAGAGGAAATGCAAATGGCCAACAGACATATGAAAAAATGTTCAACATCACTTGTAATCAGGGAAATGCAAATCAAAACTACCATGAGATACCATCTCACACCAGTGAGAATGGCACATATTAAAAAAACTAGCAACAACAAATGTTGGCGAGGATGTGGAGAAAAAGGAACTCTTGTGCACTGTTGGTGGGAGTGCAAACTGGTCCAACCACTATGGAGAGCTGTGTGGAGATTTCTGGACCTACTAAACATAGAGCTTCCATATGATCCAGCAATTCCACTCCTAGGTATTTACCCAAAGGACACAGAAACATCAATTCCAAAGAGCACCTGCACCCCTATGTTTATAGCAGCACTGTTTACAATAGCTAAGCTTTGGAAACAACCCAAATGCCCAAAAATAGATGACTGGATCAAGAAGATGTGGTACATATATACCATGGAATATTACTCAGCATTCAAAAAAGATAAACACATGCAATTTGCAGCAACATGGATGGCACTGGAAGGGATCATGCTCAGCGAAATAAGCCAAAAAGAAAAAGAAAAATACCGGATGGTCTCACTCATAGCAGGAATCTAGAAAACTTAAATAAGGGACCAGGAAAATGAATATAAGAAAGTGAAAATCAAAATCAACAAAAAACTATGAACCAGAGACACTTTTTGGGGGGTGGGGGGCGGGAGGGGAAGGATTGGGGTCAGAATGGGGCGTTTGCAATTGTATGGGGGAATATAAAAATAAAATTTAATATTAAAAATAAAAAAAAAAAAACACATCAGGCCAAGATGGATGCTGCAAACAACAAGTATTTTACTCCAAGTTTGATGGTCAAGGCATAGATGGGAAATAATGTTGAGCTACATAATCCACTGTACCTAAGTTTAAAAAGTTATCAGTCTATCAAGTGAACAAAGATTTTCCTATCATTAAGTACAAAGAATGTCACGCCCAGCAACACCACCAACGGGTATGGAAGGAAATCCTTATTGCTGCTTTTGCAAATGAAAATCCTCTAACTTCCTCTGCTACTGCAAGTGTTTCCTCTGCCTTTTAACACTTTGCCCTGCTCATGCAAAGGGGCATAGGCAAAAAGAAAGCAAATGTGTGACACCCACCACAGTGGGCCATTCATGAAAGTGGCCTGCGAGACACCACAGCAGCTTTTAAGAAAGAGCCTGACGCCCACCCACCACCACCCTGCCCTCCCTGGACCGTGCCCCTGCTGTGGTTAAAAAAAAAAGCCTAATTTGGGAGGGATGGTTAGAATATGAAAAATTCTGTCCTTACCTTAGCAGTAAGGAAAACATTAAAGTGTTCATTGAAAGAGAGCACGGGATGATCGGCAATTCTTTTCAGGAATTTATCCAGAGCTTTCCTTCTGGTCTCCACGAACTCCTCTGAAAAACGATCTACAACACCTTTCACGACAAACTTCTCAGGAAGAGGCTGTGAAGACAGGAAGAAAAATAATAAAAAATAATAAAAAATAATCAGGACGAAAAATAATCAACACAGCAAGAAAAAATGCTAAGATTGTGCAAAGAAAGCCCCAGGCCAGGAAATAATTCCATCTGTCCAGAGAGAGTCTCCGCGTCAGCCAGATCTTTCTATAAGCAGTGTCAACAGTTCTGAAAAATACAGATGGAGCGAATCACAACTTCCCTATCAATTTCATAGTGAGAGAACTAAAACACTGGAGCAGAGTCCCTAGAAAACAGGACACCATCACTATTTATCCAGTAAACCTGGGGGGCGTGGTTGCCTTCACATCTTTCAATGCACAGATGCCAGAAAGGGAAAGCTACGGTAAGAAAGGTAAGTTCGGGAAAGAAGGCAGATATCATCCACCACACAGGCTTACTTAAATATATCAAGATTCTGCCCCCAGTTTAAGGGGTAAAAGAAAGAAACAGGGTGAATAGAGAAAAGGTGTATTAGGATAGGCCATGTATTTAAAAAATACCCTTTTTGGATCCTTTTTTTTTTTGGTGAGGACAGTCAGGTTTATACTCAAAAGTTGTTAAAAGTATAACTTCTTTCATTTCCCTTACTCAAATTTCTCCATCATGTTTACTTTGAGTCAATATTATGGGCAATTTAGAACCACCTGGGCTACCAGGTGATCATTAAGTGTTAACCTATTTCCTTTGTAGTTTGGTTAAAAGGCCTTCCTCAGTACTACCACAGGCATGATTTGAAAATGTTTGGTTCCAAAATATTAAAAGAACACTTACATTAAATGAGGAAATATCTGGTAGCTATTTCTCCAGAATGATATAAAAATAGCCAGCAAGAACATGACAAGATGCTCAACACCATAAACCATTAGAGAAATACAAACCCAAACCACGGGACACCACTTATACCCACTAGGGAAGGTGGGAGGAAGAAGAGGAAAAGAAAGAACAAGAGTTGGTGAAGAAGTGGAAAAACTGGAACAAATACTGAAGTCCATAACCTTCAAACCTTAATCTGGGGCAGTAAGAGATTTTTAAAGTTCTAAACCCTCAAGCCCAAACATGCCAAAACAGAAATAAGGTTATAACCAACCCCAAAAAATAGATTCCTCAGCCATTAAGAGTAGAAAAGCCAAGAAGCAACCTTGACTCATGACACAAAATCTTTAAAAGATTTAGGAATCGGTGGCACCAGCGTGCCTGCAGCTGGGTTCTTGGACACAGAAGAAGTCAACAGCCTCCACCTGCGAGAGCTTTGCAAAGCCAAGATGTTTTAGTTTGGGAGAGAAAAGGCTCCAGGGCCAGCCCAGCCTCCTGAGCTCTCCTTCACCTCTGCCAAGCTGGTTCACTTGGGTCATGTTCCACAGGCTCTTGTAGACAACAGTACCAACCTCATAGCTTGTTAGGAGGATTGAACTAGCTCTTAGGTTGAACAGACTTCCAACAATTCCAGCCATGGCAGTTTGGGTGGCTTATTGTTGCAAAAGTGGCAGCAGCTCCCAGGGACTGACCTTGGGGACAGCAAGTGTCCTGCTAAATCCTGAGACGGTGGGAGTGGTCAGAGGCTAAGAACCAGGGGATTTCTTTTTGTCAGTGCAGGAGTTCTACAGGACACATTGGAAAGGTTTGGAAATAAAGGAAGAGAAGGGAGTAGAGTCAGAATAAACTCAGAGATGCTTGGGGATAACAAGTCCAAGTCTAGTGTGCAGTGGAGCTGACACTGGGCAGGACGTCAGAAATGCAGGACTGGCGCAGACACGGAGGCCGCTCAGCCCGATGTTACAGTCCAGTCAAAAGTATCAGAGAAGCTGCCTTCCTAGGGTATAGCTGTCCTTTAGAATGATTCCTTTATTCTGATTAGGTCTTCTTCCATTCCTTTAGACAGTCATTCTTAATATCCACGCTCAACTCCCAACCTTTCATGGTAAGCAGATTATCAAAGTAGAAACCAGGTATAAAGACATCCCATGGAAATTCCATTACCAGCTTCCTTCCTTCACAGAAACTCATTTACGGGGTACTACCCTTACCTCCATTTCTCAGGTCTTGTGGACATCATCCCCTTCCCCCAAAAGCTAACAACTACACCCACATCCTTGGCCCATCAGCTCACTATTACACACTTATCATTATCAATTAGCTATCCCTCTCTTCCCTGTATCTTCAATATCTCTTCATCTGGATCTCTTCCCCAAGTCAAAAAATATGGCTGTTTCTCTTTCTTCCAGAAATAATAAATCCAACCATTCCTTGACTAACAATTACATTCCATTTTCCATTCTCTTTGTCTCCTTCAACTTTTTTGTAAAAAAATCACTTGTCTTTAATTCCACTGACTTCTCAATCCCCATTCCCAGCCTTCCTCCACCCTAAACGAAGCCATCTTCAATGCTGCCTTTCTCTGCCCCGTCCCTACCCAATGAAGAAACATCTCTTTTAAAGATGATGGATGACTTTCTAATTGCCAGATCCAATACACATTTTCTTGATTTTATTTCATGAGTCCTGTTGAGCACATTCTCATTTGCGAATGCAGACGAGAAATAGAGAGGAGGGCCTAATGAGCAAATAAGTGGTTGGATTTGCCTCATTTAACATAACTGATGACCTCCTGAAATAGTTATCCATTCTTCAGATTTACTAGGTTGAATGTTAGGTTTAATGAATCAAGGAACTTGCTATTTAAAGGAGCCTTAGAGTGAATCCTTTTGCAAACAGAATTTCCTTCTGTAACAAACATTTTTACTCCCAAATGTACACAGCTTTGTAAATTTGTGTCTTCCAATTTCAAACTTCTTTAAAGGACACACCTACTCTCTGCCTCACCTTGATAATTACCTTCAGGGTTGTTTATGCACGGGAATCTAGGTTGCTGTTGAAATCATGTACTTTATAGTCTGTAAATGAGATAATACATGTGAAGAAGAGCGCAACACAGCTCCAAGAACATGATCAGTGTTGAATAAATCCCAGTTGTTTTTATTCATTTGTAAACAAGGAGCACAGAAAGCAAAAAGGAGAGCAAACTAATAGTTGAAACTTCTGTGTATCTTTCAAGCCAAAATGTGTTTAAAAATCACCTGGGATACCATTTCACACTCACCCACTAGGATGGCTAAAAAAAAGGAAAATAATAAGAGTTGACGAGGATGTGGAAAAATTGGAATCCTTAATTGTTGGTGGGAATGTTAAAATGATGCAGTCACTGTGGAAAACAGTTTGGCAGTTGCTCAAAACAAAATTAAACCTAGAGTTACCATATGATCCAGCAATTTCATCCCTTGGTATACAGCCAAGAAAATTGAAAGCAAGTGTCCAAACAAGAACTTGCCCAGTATATGTGCAAGCAGCATTGTTTATAACACTTGGGCTGAGAGAGGGGAGCTGGGGATTGACTGCTTAATGTGTACAGGGTTTCTTCTTGGGGTTATAAAAATGTTCTAGAATAGACAGTGGTGATTACAAAAAGACCACAAAATTCTATAATTTAAAATGATGATTTTTATGTTAGGGTAATTTTACCTCGATTTTTCTAAATGTAATGATGAAGCAGATGTCAGAGAGGAGAGAAGATGCTGTGCAGTTGGCTTTGAAGATGGAGGAAGGGGCCATGAGCCAAGGAATGTAGGAGGCTCTAGACACTGGGAATAAATTCTCCCCTAGAGTCTTCAGAAAGAATGCAGCACTGCTTGTACCCTGATATTATTTCACAAAGACTTATGTTGCTCGTCTGACTTCCAGAGTGTAAGAAATTTCTATATTTAAAATCACTTTTTGAAAAGTCATATCTGAAGGGGTGAGGGAGTAGGTAGGAGTAGAGATAAAACAAGACTGGACCTAAGTTGACATATGTTGAAACTGGATGATGAGTGTGTGGGTTCACTGTGCTGAATCTCTCTACTTTGGTATATTTTGACAGTTTCCACAATGAAAAAACATTTCTTAAACTATATATGCATGTATGATATTGGAACCTACCCAAAAAATCCTATTTGCAAAGCATTACAACAACCCATGAAGTATTTCAAGGTTTAATCTTAAAATATTTACATTTTTATAGCATTTGATACTTTGGTAGGACACTTTCCCATATATTATGTTTCATGTTAATTTATAAGAAAGATGTTTATAATCTGTGTAACAAAAGCATATTTCTTGTAGATTGTCACAAACATTAGTATTTCTGGGTAAGAAATCTGGACAAAGCTTTCAATTGCTCACTCATGAAATGTCCAACTTCCTCTTGAGGATTAAAATTACTGCTTCCATCTTTTTATCAAACCAACAAAAAATGTGGCTTCTAAACTAACAAAGAAATAAAAGAGCATCAAGATTAAAAACCTTGTCCCTACAGAGAAAAATTACTAACCCTGGTTGAATTCAAAGTACTCAAAAGTTCAGTGTCCACCTACTTATTGTCTAATGAGAAAACTAAACGCAAGTACATTTAGCAGTACTAAAAAAGGAGAAGCTAACTAGAAAATGAAGCTCAAATTTTCTCTGATTGTTTCATGTTAAGAAAAACGGTTGTTTCACTTTACATTTCTTCTCACTAACTCCTGAGTTCACCACTACCCAAAACAAAACCAGGTATATAACAATACAAATGCACCCTTCCAGCGAAGCTTTCTTCATAAATATTGAAGCAAAAATCAAATTTCCAAGTAAAATTAAAGAGTTAATAAATGTAATTGCTAGATCTTCAAAAACCTATTTATGCCCATCAAATCACAAATCTGCCTGCTATATAACTAGTTGTGTCTCAGCAAATGAGGCAGTGTTAAAACCAACTTCTGAGCCAAAAAAGAATTACAGAACAAAGCCATGTCACAAGGAAGACTTTCTGGTAGTTCCAACTATTAAATAATAAAGACAAAAAATGAATTGCTGTTGCAAGATAATACACATACAAATCTAGCACACTTATAGCTTTAAGATGGCCTTAAGAGCATACTGTTTCTGCTTTTAAAATTCCAGAGGAACAAAGCAACGAGAGGCAGCTGTCTTTCTGGGGTGATGAAAAGGTTCTAAAATTGATTGTGCTGACGGCTGCACCGCTCTATGAAGACACTGTGGCCCTTGATGTGTACATTTTAAATGGGCGATTGTAGGGCATATGAATGAGAGCTGTTTTTTAAATAAAGAAAATTTCATCAGTAGAACCATTTTTTAAATCAAGAAAATTTAATGAAATTGAAATGAAGTGAAAATAATGATGCTGCAAGCTTACTGAGTATCTCATAATGCACACCCTTGTTTCTCTTATAACCCCTTCCTTTCCCCAATGCCCAGGGTACTCACCAGACCCAGTAAAACATTAGCACCAAGTTTATGCTTATTAACAGGCACCTCCCAGGGAAGCTGCTGTAAAATGAACTAACATAAAGGGGGGAAATGAGGTTTGCTTCTATTGTGACATTCACATTTAAATCACAGATGCTCTCCTATAGAACTTTAAGCCTCCACTGTGAAGAACTTTAAGTCTGCACTGGCTTGAAGTTCTACTTAAAGAGCTACTCAGTGCTCATCATACTGAAAATACTCTGGGTCCACCTTGGCATTCTACCAACTTCCTTTTTTTTTTTCCCCAGTTCTGGCTTCTATGTCCACTCATGAGTGTCTCACCAGCAGGTGTCACTGCCTAACCTTTGCTCTTTAACTACTAAGCCAAGCACTCCAGCTGCCAGGATGTGGAGAGGCACCCCTTATGTTAGTGTGGGCGACACACAGGAACATCTTCCTTTCACAAAAAAATCAATGGAAGGGAGAGAAGAAAGAGTGGCAAACCTGACAAGCACTACTGTGAGTCAGGTGAAGAAGGACGACCGACACCCACAAATAGTGTCAGCAGTATATGCCCTGATGTGAGATGCCACGAGGAAGGCATTTGACCTCTGTGGGTTTTCTCCACAGAACACATTACCCCAGTAGCCATGAGATAAACATCAGCCACATATCCACAAAGGGGGCACTCTACAGAATGCCTGACCAGTACTCACAACTGCTAAGGGCATGTGAAAGAAACAAGGAACGCCTGGGAAACTGTCAAAAACAGGAAAAGCCTGAGGAGACTTGGAGACTTAATGTGGTATCTTGGATGAGCTCCTGGGACAGGAAACTGAGGTGGAAATAATGGGATGGGAAAAAGAATAGGCTTTTTTAAAAAAAAATATTTTATATGATTCTTACATCATTTTTCATCTTTGCACAATGTATGCATTTTCATTATGGTTATATTCCCCATACAACTGCACCCCCCCACCTTATTTTGACTCTAGTGCTTCCTCTCCCCTCCTCTCCCTCCCCGCCCGGTAGTGTGTCTCTGGTTTATAGTTGCTTGTTGATTTTAAGAATAGCCTTTTTTTTTTTTAATTTTTTAAAAATTTTATGTACACAAGAACAGGGGTATAGGTCAGAGATATGGGAGGTGGGGGGGGGGCGGTGTGATTCACCAGACATATAGTGGGCAGACTGACTGAAATACACTGCTGAGGGGAGCAGCAGGAGAGGTCTGCTGCACCATGTGGGTAGCTTTCTGGCCGGGGCTCAAACTCATGCTGCAGTGGCTGCAGATAGCTTCATAGTGCTGAGACTTAACCCCCTGCACTACCAGGAAGGCAGGAAAGGCTTTTTAGTCAATAAAAATGTATCACTTTTGCTCATTAATTGTGACAAATGTGTCATACTAATGTAAAATGTTAAATAATAAGCCAAGCCGGGAGTGGGATATGAGAACTTACTGTACTAGCTTCACAGTAATTCTGTAAATCTAAAACTGTTCTGAAATGAGGTCTATTTAAAAAAATAACTCACTAACTGCCAATTTTGCAAATTAAGAATTTTTTTTAAGGTTCTCTTTAAGGAATAATCCTAACTGTTTGAAAAATAGTTACTTCTTTGAACACATTTTGAGGTGACTAGAACAGCAAAACTTAAGCTTGGAGAGCAGAGGGGACATGCGAGGGATGGGGCCTCCTGGAGTGGGAGCAGCTGCCTAGCCAGTCCCATTAGTCCCACCACAGTGTTACAGAGCAACCCCAATATAAAAAGGGTTGCCTGACTGTGGGTCTTCACCCATGCGCTTAAAGGGGACTTAGTAATGCTAAACTGCAGGCACACACAAAAGGTTAATAAAAGGTTTATTTACAAGGGAAGGAGAAATGGAGAAATGAATAACTCAGGGAGAGAAAGAGGGAGATGAGTTCATAAATGCATCCTACCCCTTCCACTAACTTGGAATCCCAATGACCCACTGAGCTGGCAAAAAACCACACCCCGTCAGGCCAAGAGAGCAACCCCCTGGCCACATGTTCAGTTAAATATTCAAAACAGAGAACATGGCTGCTTAATTCTGCCCTCAGGTCCTCGCAACCCTCCCTTTGGTGATCATGGGATGTGTAGTTACCAGTGTTTTGATGGAGTGGGGGCAGAGTCCACAAAGCCTGTATGGACTTTGCTCAGGACATCCTTTCCCTCTAGTAATTCCCCCCTTTCACTTTTTGGCACTATTTCCATGATGAAGATCAAATGTATGGATGCTGGGGTGCAGCCTCAGATGAAAATTTTTCAGGATTCCAGTTTGAAAGAAAACCAGTCTCAACAGCACTAGGAACATGGCTGCTTTTGCCTTGAAGACCAAGAAAACAAGAGGACTGTTCACATGATATTCAGCCTCTTTCAACAATGGGAGGAAGCAGCATTGGTTAACAAGTGGTAACAAAAAGTGGGTTGTACTAAGCAATTATTTAACCAAGTTCTAACTGAAAGATAAACCCCTCTGAAAATTTTTATGACCCAAATGAGCTTAAAGTCCCCAAGTCCAAGAAACATCTGGGGGTCTAAAAAATTATTTTTACTCAAAAAAAGGGGGTAGTCAGAATATGAAGGTTGATTTAAATTTTAGTTGTGCTAGTTCTATTTTTAAATGTGTGGATATAAGAAATAAATACTATGCACTGTTTCAATAGGTTAGCTGGCTTTTCAATCTGTTTTTTAAAAGAAGCGATATGGCTGGTGCCCTGGACCCCTGGACCCTAGATTAATTGTCATACTGAAAATCTACCCCATCCCATTCCAGAAACTGGCACCCTGGAGAGCAAAACCCAAAAGGTGAAATGTGCTATGCAGTATTCATAAACATGTTTTCCATACATTTGATGGATTAATCTGGGATGAAATATAAGGCAGAGTTTACGTGTAATTCAAGGGGTAAGAGCTGAGTGAACAGCCTCAAGAAAGATAATGCAAGAAATATGAATAACAAGTTGCAATGACTTAGTACCTACGGGAATGAGATGAGTGGGCTGGGATTCTTCTAGTTTGTTTCTCAACCAGTCAAAATCCTGATATCTTCGACGAACAGAATATTCTGGCAGGTCGAACTCCACCCGGGTACTCTGCAAATAAGAAGGGTGGAACAAAATAAGCATACGGAAGAGTAGCATTATTTTGGCAGAAGGGAAGGAAAAAGTTCTCTTGCCCAAACTGGGCAAGAATACACTTTCCTTCCACCAAGCACACCAGCCAAATGGCAGGGTTTGCCAACACAGAATGATGAGTTTGGGCCCTAGGGTCCTGTTAAAAACTGAAGCATTTAGAATGAAAACACTCAAGGTTTTTTCCTACCCTCAGGAAATGCAACCCAACTATCCCTCAGAATTGTTTAGAAACAGTTGATTCGTTTCCAAACTTAGAGAATTTTAGAGTAGTTCCACTGAGGATATTGCTACTGAATCCAAATCTGTTAAAAGAAATTAAGCTTCCAACTTCTGCTAAATGTGCTGACAAGTTTCACCAAAAGCAGAGGGGAACAAACACAGAGAAGAGACAACAGATCATTTAGGAAACAGATTAGATGTAAATAGAAAACCTTTTCTGCCTAATTAGTCATACTCTGGCAGAATCATAACCTTGAAACTGTATTTTAGAGGCATAACCTGAAAAAATCTGAAGGAAATTGTACTACAGAAAAATATTAATTGCATGTCCTTTCCAGAATTTAAGTTTTCTGAAATATGATTACAGCACTTTAGTAATGAAAACTAAAGTTTAATAAATAAACTTAATTTATACCCAAACAAGATTTTTACACATTAATTTGCCCAAAATTAAAACTGTATAGGGCCGCCCCGGTGGCGCAGTGGGTTGAGAGCCATGCTGTGAAGCTGTCTGCAGCCTCTGCAGCATGGGTTTGATTCCCTGCCAGCCGGGGAGATGGCCACATGGCGTGGCAGACCTCTCCTATCTCGTCTGCTGCTCCCCTCAGCAGTGCTTTTGGTCCATCTGCCTGTTCTGCTCCCCCTCTGTCTCTGGTGAATCCTCTCACCCTCCCACGCCTCTGGCCTGTACCCCAGCTATTGTATAAATAAAATAAATCTTTTAAAAAATTTTTAAAAAATATAAAGAAGCAAGCATCGCTTAAAAAAACAAAAACTAAAACTGTATAAATAAATCATCTTTACCTTTGAGGGTATTAACATTATGACAGTCACAGTTCTCAGAAATTAAAGTACAAGAAAAAAAAATGGCTCAAGATACGTTTTGTAAATTTACTCTTCAAGCCTATAGTCTGTTTTAATCCACAGCACTAAAAAAAAATCTTAAAAATACATCCATGAAAGAAAAACTGAACAGCTTTGGCAATGAAACTTATAATTTCACCTTCCCCAAAAACAATTTTGCTCAGTAACTGAGCAAAAAAAGAATTTGGTCATAGAGTCCCCCTTTTCAAAGTCCCACACACTTACACTGCCCACAAAACAACCACCCCTTATGACCAGTACATGCAGGCGGGACCATGCGGGAAAATTCAATTTAGGTATTTGTGATTTATTAGAAGATACCCCCCCACACACAAGGAATTACCATGTAGAACTAGAGAGGGGGGAAATATACTTAAATCCAAAGAACAAATCACTGCTGTTAAATTATCAAGAGTAGGGATGATAAAATGTTGGAGGCAGGAAGCCTGACACTCCTCCCATGGCCACCAGGCAGAACCGCTCACCGCAATCCTAAGCCCCTACCAGGCCCTGAGATGTCACTAAGACTCCAGGGGCCTCAACCTCCTCAACAGCAAGAATAGAGGAAGCTCTTCAAGACCCCACACAGGCCTCTAATAGACTCTGCCTGATGATTGCTGATGATTATGAGTCCAAGAAAAGCAGATTTTAAAAAGTGACAAATGAATGCAACTCTATTCACAGTAAACAGAACTGATGGAGGGCTCTGCTTTTTCCCTTCCTCAACAGTACAACAGATGATTTTCTTGGTTACATTTTCACAAATTCACTTCATAAATCATAAATCATAGTTAATATAACATTTCTACCTGAAATTAGTGTTTAATAATTAAATGTTGAACTTTGCAATCAGTATTTAATAACTACAAGAAAACAATATGATAAACACAATTTTTTTCTGCTTTAGCTAGTTTTACTTTTGAGGAACTTACTTTTTTTCTATTCTGTCTAGACATTTTAAAACTTAAGGAAAAATAAATAAAAAATAAAAGACTAGGCAGAATCCCTCAAATGGAGACAAACACGGTATACATTTTTTTAGCATTCATTCACTCATTAGCTCATATTTCCTATATATCTTTAATCATTTTTAGCACATATATAATATTTCACTGAATGGATATACCATCATTAAACCAAATCCCAACTTAACTTGTTTCCAATTTTTCAATTATAAACAATGCTACAGCAAACATTGTTGGGTACCTACTTGTAGAGTCTCTTAAAATAAGTCCTAAAGACAGAATTTTTGACTGAATGAGCATATATATATTTTAACTGACAAACAGTTTCCAGATATAGACTAATTAATAGTATTACCACATATTTTCTTTTTTTTTTTTTTTTTTTTTAGAGGCATGTTTTTATTTATTTATTTGTTTGTTTGTTTGTTTGTTTATACATGCACTGGGTACAGTCAGAAGCGCAGGAGGGTGAGAGAATTCACCAGAGCCAGAGCGGGGAGCAGAGCAGGCACAAGGACCGAAGTACACTGCTGAGGGGAGCAGTGGGCGGCAGGAGAGGTCTGCGCACCATGTGGGACCCTCCTCCAGTGGCCGGGGAGCAGCCGGGGATCGAACCGGCGCCGCAGAGGCCGCGGGCAGCTTCGCAACCCAGCGCTCAAACGCTGCGCCACCGGGGAGGCCCACCACATATTTTCAATACTCATTATCTTTGGTGGAATTATAAATGAAAAAATAATACATCTCCTTTGCTTTGCTTTTGTTTAATGATCATGTGGGTTGAACATCATTTCAAATGTTTATTGACTCTTTTTCTTTTTTGTTTAAAGATTTATTTTCTTTATTTATGTACACAAGAACTGGGGTGTAGACCAGAGGTGCAGGAGGTGAGAAGATTCACCAGAGACAGAGTGGGGAGCAGAGCAGATGGATCTACTGAAATACACTGCTGAGGGGAGCAGCAGGCAAGACAGGAGAGGTCTGCTGCACCAAGTAGGTCAGTTCCCTGGCCCTGAATCGAACTCATGTCCCAGTGGCTGACGATAGCTTGACAGAGCTGACCTTAACCCCTGTGCCACCAGGGAGGTCCCCTTTATTTTTATTTTTTTTGTGAAAGTTTTGTTTTTCAATTATGAATCCAGACTTTTCCATTTGTAAAAATTCTTTACAGCCATTTGAGTATCAAACTTTCCAATATTTTTGGATACAGAATTTTTAAAATGTCATGTAGTCAACTTCATCATGTTCCCCTTTAGGGTTGCTGATTTTGGTATTGGTGATAAAAAGACTGTTTTGCAAAATTTAAAAATATTCACCTGTAGTCTCTCCTTCAGTTATAGCTTTTATGTCTTTAATTACTACTCTTCTCCTTCTAGGATTCTACTAGAAAATAATAATTTTTAAACTGTGGCAAAGATAACATGTATAATAATGCTCACTGCTATCTTATTTAAAATAGCAAAGGAGGGCCTCCCTGCTGGCACAGCGGTTGAGCACTGGGTTGCGAAGCTGCCCGCAGCCTCGGCGGTGCCTGCTCAATCCCCGGCTGCTCCCCAGCTACCAGAGGAGGGTCCCGCATGGCGCGTAGACCTCTCCTGCCGCCTGCTGCTCCCCTCAGCAGTGTACTTCGGTCCTTCTGCCTGCTCTGCTCCCCGCTCTGGCTCTGGTGAATTCTCTCACCCTCCCGCCTTCTGACTGTACCCAGTGCTTATATAAATAAATAAAAAATTTTAAAAAATAAAATAAAATAGCAAAGGAGTCTGAGGAGGTGTGATCCAGTGTCCCTAAGTCACATACATACAGTGTTGTAAACCAAGATTACCTCAATTAAAAAAAAAAAAGTAACAAAAAAGTCAAAGCCACTTGAATGTTTAACAATAAAAGTCTGTTAAGATATTATAGTAGATTTATTGTGTGGTTTTCAGGAATCACATCTGTAAGTAGTTTCTAATGACTAAAAGTGCTTCAACAGTTTTTAAGATAAAAAGGGGGGATACAAAATTAATGATACATATATTATGATTTCATTTGTGTTAAAAAATGGAGACAGGACCTCCCAGGCAGTTGAGCGCAGTTCTGTGAAGCTGTCTGCAGCCTTTGCAGTGCTGGTTCGATCCCCGTCAGCTGCGGAGCAACCCACACGGCGGGGCAGACCTCTCCTGTCTTGCCAGCTGCTCCCCTCAGCAGTGTATTTCAGTCATTCTGTCTGTTCTGTTCCCTGCTCTGTCTCTGGTGAATCCTCTCACCCACCTGCACATCTGGCCTGTACCCCAGTTCTTGTATAAATAAATCTTTAAAAAAAAAATGGAGACAAAGCATTAGAAGAAAAATCTAGAATTAATAATGACAAATGGCCTGTTTATAGTCATCCTTATTTCTAAGTTTTCTACCATTTCCATATAATACTTTTATAGTCACACAGTTGTCTTTTTGTTTTGTTTTGTTTTGGGTTTTGTTTGTTTTTTAGCTCCTTTGATGACATAGGGGATTTATTAAAGCAGTAAAATTATTTGACATTTTCAAAAATAGGTAAAAAAAACTCATGAAATAGAAGAATGCTTATACTGTGACCCATATTTATTATTTTTACCAAAACGTGCTTTAGAAATGATATAGTGACACATAAGTATGATCAAATGTCATTACAAGGAGGTGAGAAAGAGAAAGGGAAAACAAGGCCAGAGAGAAAAAGCAGAGTCAGGAAAGAGGCTAGCAGTACATACTCCCCACGAAATTCTGCACACTTGCCGAAACTGGGCCACAGACATCATCCCTGTGAATTTCCAGACAGAAACCCAGTCCGTTATAAAACCCACAGTCCTCTGACAACATGCAGGCCAATAAAATCCACATATGAGTACACAGAAAATGTTTCCTCTGTGAAATTCAAGATCTAATTTAGAAAGGAAAATAAAGTCCCATGTGTTTTCTTTTCTAATATCTGTGGTAAACAAGAAAAAGGGAAAGGAAGGCAGGCACCACAATCCCATTATCAGAAACACCACCTCACTGCTCTCTGTTCCTTCCACTCCATGTTCTGCAATCTGAATGCCCAACTAAGCTCACTAGGCCCAGTACACACACCTTAGTCACATCTAGAAATCAGTAGCTGAGCACAAGCACTGTGATGAATGTTAGTTTTCACCATGGTTCTGTGTGAATAATTGTAATCATCTCTAAGTAACCCTGACCTTTTTTTTTCAAGTTTCACACTTTAGAAGGTGGAGCACGGAGCTGCAGTGTCATCAGTTACCCAGGAGAGCACCCTGCCCACTAGCTGACAGTGCACGGGAGACCTCCTCTTACTCTCAGGAGCTGATGTGACCCCTGTGACCCAAAATCACTACAAAGAATGTCCGTCCATTCAATCCAGTTTAAACCACACTTTGGACAGACTTGGTGTTGATCAGATAGGTCATCTGTCCAGGTCATATCTGGTTCCTAAAAAGGCTAAGTGACCACAAAGGGATGTATTCCCTTATCAAAGAGTAGCCGGGCAATTCCATTGGGCTTCAAACTCCCACTGCCCTAAGAAAACACCTAAGTACGGTCAAAGAGCTTTCGGCCTCTCCTCATGCTCACCTAAGTTTCTTCTTCTAGGACCTTCCACTTATCTCCTCAGACCAAGTGGGCACCGGAACACCCACTCAAATTCCAAAAGCTAGTTCCACCCTGAGAATACAGACGGCCTCCCTGCCACCTAAGTGGAAGCTGTTTGTTTTTCTCACATTCCACACCTTTCCTCCCCTCTCCAAGACCAAGTTGCTGTTGACATGCTCCTCATTCCACACTGTCCCTTACCACCACTCCTCCACAGACCTGTGAAAACGCTAAGGTCCATGCCATGCAGATATACTCATCTCGGTCCCTCCTCACACATCATCTTCTTGTACCTACACTCAGTCATCCTTTCCAAATCCCTTCTATAACCTGCATCTGGGTGCCCTCTAAAAGCAGCTGGTTCACACAAACAACACCCATCTCTAAGCAACAGTCTCCTTCCACTCCACAGCTGGTCACCAGGTGGAAAGTCCCACAGCTCCCTCCCTGACCAGCACTTTGGATGCTTCAGACTCCATTTCCTAATAACTTGGATTTTCAGTCTCTTGGGACATACAGTTCCTTGACCTTCTGCCTACTTCTATCTTTACTTCCCTCCTCAGCATCATTCCATGACCCATTATTTCAACCTCTTACTTAACCAGTATCCTAAAACTATCCTTCTCCACTGTCCATTCATACAACTCTGGCAAAAATGCAACTATCCACCTCATCCTAATTAGACCTGGGTGTGAGCACATTCCTAGAGGCAAAACAAATTCAGGCAAACACATGGCTTGACACAATAAATTTACAGCTGGACCTTCAACACCGCCAAGCAATCTTTTTATAGTTCCCTCGGTAACTCTCTCTTTTATCATCCACATTCGTTAACACAAAGTCTGTAGAAGGTTTGAAAACGTTTAAGTCTTCACTCTTCGTAGGAAGCCTCATTGCCTACTCATGGAGAAACTGCAGATATAATCAAAGAACTCCTCACATTCCTGCCAACAGAAACATTGGAGAAAGGACTCCCCCCAGAAAGGCCACACACTCCCTCCACTCCTGCTCCTCTCTTCACCAACACTGTCCACCTGGCACTTTGTCTCTTCCATCCTTAGAAAACAAACAAAAATCCCCTGTTCCTCGAGTCCACAACCCTCCAGCTACTCTTCTTTTTCAATGTTCATGCTCATTGCCAAACTGCCAGTACCAGTGGTATAAGCTCCTCCTTACCTCTCACCCTCTGCAAACTGGGTTCTGGAAATAAAACTACAGTCTATACCTACTTCTTTGTGTGAGGAACAACTGATGATACATTTAAAGCACTTAGCACAAAAGGAATGACAGCTCATCTGTGCAGAACCCCACCGCGGTCTTGGAAGCGGTAGCATGAGAAGCAGGCTTGCTGACATTTACGAGCACAGAAAGCTGTCCGCAGTATCTTAAGTAAATTGGCAGCAAGCAAAATACTCCTATTTGCAAGTGGATAGAGACAAATGATTCAGAAAATTATAAATGATTATTTCTGGCTGGGTAGTTTTTAAGTTCTTTTACTTTGTTTTAGCTTGAGTTTTCTAAATTCTCTACAATGAGCATGTATTACTCATATAAAATAAAAATTAAAGGGTTTCAATTGCAAACAAAGTATAGGACATGGAAAGTACTCAATAATTAGCTATTATTGTGATGTAAATTTCTAGGCACCCCAGAGAAAACTGCCAGCATCTGCTGGCCAGAGAAGGCCCACGCTGGCATCTACACCACTGGAGAGATTCGACCCCATTGACTTAGATTTGGGTGGAGGGAGATTCACCTTCCATGGCTCTCAGCCCAAGGCTCAGTTCAGGCAAAAGAGCCCCACAGGCCTCTGCTGGTGGCGCTGGGCTGCGAGGCTGTCCGCAGCCTCTGCAGCACTGGTTCATTACCAGGCCACTGGCGAGGGTCCCACAAAAAAAAAAAAGAGCCCCAGACTTTGTCAGCCTTGCTTGTCAGGAATTTGTATTAGGACTGGGAAGCCAACACTCAAAGGAATAAAGTATTTATACAAACTTGCACGCTGACCACTCATCTAATGGTCATTAATTTAATCAAGATGGCCATTACATCTGTTTGAAAACCTCTGAAGTGGACTCCCAGGACAAGATCGGGTGTGTGGAACCTTCTGTTCCCATCTGTCATCCCCACACACTCCACATATCCTATCAAACATTCAAAAAGAAGGTTCCACATGTGTCACCAAGATATAAACCCTTGTCACTATTTGAACAGGAAAAGAACAAAATTCGGGCTTGAGATCAGGAGTGGAAAGGAGGGTAAGAAAGAAAACTTAATTCTGCAAGAACTTCACCTTGAGGTGCTGGCATCATAGCCAAGTGAAAACGTGGGTTTAGAACTTGGGGAAAGCTATCCTAAGACATTTTCAAAATTCTGGGAAACTGAATAACTCCAGGAAAGGGGATAGAAATAAGAACAAAAGGAGAAAGACTTCTTGGGAAGGAAAGAAAGAGAGGAGGCAAAGGAAGTGTGAGGAGTTACAGCATGTGTAGTAGCCCGCGAATCCCTGGACGGAGGCCCGACAGCAGGCAGCACCCAGGGACATAACCTGCAGGGCAGGGCAATCAGCAAGAGACGGAACGCAGGGGGTGGGCGAGCCCTGCTGTGTGGTGAGGCTGTCACCCTGTCACTCAGCTCCTTGCACCACAAATTCAAGAAAAATGGGTTTTACATTTCACTGACTACAGGGTAAAAAAGAAGTTGACCCTAGGGGAAAAAAAAATAAGTCAATGGAAGTAATTCATGGGAGTACGTATGCCCACCTAGGACCTCTGAGGATATAAGATACACCTAAGCACTTAGCCCAATGCCTGGGAAATGCAGGGGGAAGGTTGTGTGTGAGTGTGAGTATGTGTACATGCCTGTGTACATGCAGATACCATGTTTCCAGTGTGAACTTGGTGGGGAAAGGACAGGGCATTAATAGCAAAAGATGATGAAAGGCTTTAATGTCCATATAGAAAAGATGTTGGAGGATCACTAGGTAAAGAATTAGACAAAGACTGAATAAGCAAGCTATACAGACACACACACACACACACACACACATTCAAGTGAACACGGAAAGGTCTTCAAAGAGACTACAGAGGGAAAATTAGAAAACAATATTACAGTGATATCTGAATTATATTAATTTTACAATGCATACATGTAAAGGCAAAGAAAAAGAACTAGAAGGACACACACCAAATTTCAGCAATGGTTGCTTTGGGCAACAGCACTGTAAGAACCAAAGAAGATTCATGCTTTTTAGTCTATACCTGGTTTTTTGGCTTTATAAGAATGTATTTATATTACTTGTACAATTTTTAAAATAGAACATTTTCATCCTATAATAGATGAAAAAGCAAAATTTGAGTGCATCTTATTCTCTGTTTTTTTCCCATCAAAGAACTTAGACAGGAACAGAACCAGCCCCAATAAAAACATTTTTTTTTTCTAGAATGAAAAAGAGAAAAAAGTACAGTTAAAGGAGATGTTCACCAATGCTAAAATTCTAACTAAAGTGCTACCATTTAGGATTACTGTGAACATTAATTGATTCAGTCTCAATTCAGTCCCACTACCTCCCTGGCACAGAGCACAAAGTCAGTAATTAGCTCCCATTAGGTCATGCGCCCCCTACCATTAACTCCAATTACACTACATAATAATCATGGTCTCCTCCCAGATACTAGGTTGCTATGATGATTCACAAATTTCAAAAGCAATATATTAATATGTTACACAGAGTCAAGACAGAGAGAGAAGTGAAAGTATAGGAATTAAATGATTTATTTTGAAAAACTGTAGACACAATTTCTTCTTCATTTTAAGGTAAAGAATTTACACATAGTCCTTTTCATCTGAAATGCCCACTATCTCACTAAGCCATACCTACATTTGTGAACAGAGTTTATGGAGGGAGAAAGTGAAGACAGGAATCATGGCTGGAGGACTCCCTTTCCTCAAGACCACTCAACCAGGCAGAAGATAGAGGGACGTACTTTGGTGGTGATCCTGTACGTGATGTAGGTCTCCATGGTACAGACATGCTTCTTGGGATCATCCACCGTGACAAAGAGATCTCTGGTCTCACCATCCATATCATCATCAAGTTGAAGTCTGTTGAGAAGGGAAGATGAGGAAGCTGGACTTGAAGTGCCTGCTGGAGTTCCACCATTGGGCAAAATGAGGTCCTAAAAGGAGAAAAGAACCACCTTACAAATTAAATGAAAACATATACTTAGAGAACACCAACAGAAGTAGCTGTTTTAGCCAAACCAAGAAATACCACTAAGTACAGAAATAACATTCAAAGAGGGCATCCCCTGGTGGCACAGGCAGTTGAGCACAGCGCTGTAAAGCTGTCCGCAGCCTCTGCAGCGCGGGTTCAATCTGGCCAGCTGGGTAGAATCCCACATGGTGCAGCAGACCTCTCCTGTCTTGCCCGCATCTGGCCTGTACTCCGGTTCTTTATGCATTAATAATGAATAAATCTTAATGTTTAGTGAGTGAACAGGTCTTTTGTGACCAAGAGAAAGAATTCTGTAGACAAATTCACACCGATTCCCCTCCCAGTAGTTCCGGGATAGAGACCAACACAGCCTCCACCATTATCACATTTAGACACGCATACTCTCCTTTTCTTATGTTCTCAAGGCCACCAGCTGAGTTCAGGTAAACATTTAGGGGCCCAAACCTTCTTAAATACTTGATGTATTTTAAAACTTAGTCAACATTCATAAAGACACAAATAAACATATGCTTTCTGCAAGAAGTTCACATCACACCTATTACTGCTTATAGGAAAATATTGAATCTGAATCTGAATCCTGAATAAATCTGAAAACATGACACCAATTTTATAGACAATACAGAGGAGTGAAGAGGATGTCAAACAATATTGTGAGATGCAATCAGCAAAATCTACACTGTATGAAACCAAAGAATACCAAAGACCCAGCTTCCTCAATAAATAACAGAGAAAAATAACAGACCAAAGAAACTTAAGAGAGCTATCAACCAACTGCAGTGGATTCTGCATAAAACAAAACTGTACAAGAAAAGATTTTGTGATATTTGGGGAAATCTGAATATTCATAAGTCATTTGATGACCTAAATGAATTCTTAGATGTGAAAATGGCATGACTTTACAAAGCCTTCATCTTTTAGAAATATAGACTAAAATATCCATGGTTGATATGATAGGATATCTGGCATTTGATTCAAAATAATAAGGATCGGTAGGTGGGGATACTGGTGATTCAAGATGCCCTAAAGTGGTTAACTACTGAAGCTGGCACCTGCAGGTACATTATACAATTCCTTGGGTCTTTATACAAGTTATTCCCCAAAAGACTACCCTCAAGATATGGCCCATGTGTGAAACAAACATGGAGGAAAAACACGAAAACCTCATGAAGGGGCAGGAGGGTAGGTGGATGACAAAGGTAAAGTGAATGACCCAGGCCCCTCCATCCTCAGAGTCCGCCTGAAGCAGCTGGTTTGCTAAGCAACCGGAGCTCTGGAGCAGGTGCTGCGGGAGGGGCGCCTTTATGGCCAACACCAAGCACAGAATGAGAGAAGCCAGGGAATCCCGTGGCCCAAGACAAAAGCCTCCTGCTGGATTTTGACAGCGCTTGGTCAGATCTCTGTACCGCAGCCAGAGAGTTCTTTGAAAACTGTTCATCAAATACGTCACATTCCCACTCAACTCTCAAAACTTCCAATTACATTTAGAAGAAAATCCAAGCCTCCCTCCCATGGCCCTGCTATCACCCACAAGGTCCAGCGTACTTTCACCATTATCTCTGACCTCATCAGGGACACCCCCTACCGGCTCACGCCATACACACAAGTCTTGTTCATTTTGGCCTTGGGGATGCCCATACTAGACAGAAGGCCTTATCACTATCTGAAAAATAATTGTGTATTGATTGATGGACTGTCTGACACCCCACTAGTCTGTAAATTCCCTAAGAGGAGAGACTGTCTCGTTCACCCTTCCATCCTCTGGTATCTAACAGGAGCTCAGTAAGGACTGGATGGATGAAAGGAATGACCCCACTCAACATCTTGCCAGTGAAGGCTTGCAATGGACAACTGCTGAATGACAGAAGGTTGAGGCCAACTTGAAGCAGACTGTGTAGTTTTGAACCGCAGTTCCACTGCCAGTAGTGCGACATGAACAACTTCCTCAATCTCTCTATGCCTAACAGGACTGAGTTAGTATGTAGAAGCACTGGAATAATGCCTGGTACATGGCAGGTGCTACATCAAATTAACATACTCAAGTAGTAATAATAAAGTCCACTTGTCAGCAAGTATTCTTGCATCCCCTTATCAACTGTGGGGCTTATTCACAGCAGACACTTAATATATACAGCTGAAAATAAAAATTGTATCAAGAGTCATAGTTGGTGCCTCATATATATTTTCCTTTATGACTTTACTGTCACAATGGAGACCTACAGTGGCCCCTGTGAGTTACAATGACGTAGTTGGGAAATGAATGGGTACTCCTCGTTGCTCCAAAACATCTATTCTCACCATGTAAGTTTCAGTTATAAGAGTATTTCTTCCGCCCCTGCCCACTTTTTACATAAGAAAAGCAACACAGCACTAGGCTGCTGCAGAAATCCCTCTGCTTCAAATAATTTTCTTTTATAACATTCACCATGGTGGTCAGTCAGCCATGAGATAGATTATTAAATTAGCATAAATCTCTGGCAAAATTCTATTATTGTATTAGACATATGGCTTATGAAAAGAAAGCAGTATACTTTAGGAGCCGACATGGATTTAACAAAAACAAGTCATGCTAAAATACTCGAATTTCTCTTTTAATGCAATTAGAGCAATGTGGGCCACATGATGATCAAGTTTCAGAAGCGCTTGACAAAGCCTCTTGAAGCATCTTTCCCACTAGTGCAGAGCACTCTGAAAGTACAGGCTGTACCTGGCTCACTATTAACAGTGAGGTGCAACTGACATTTAACAACTTTCACAGAGTACCGTATTATTAACCACAGTCACCATGCTGCTCACCCCCACAGCCCACTTATTTTATAATTGGAAATTTGTACCTTTTGACCCCCTTCACCTATTTTGCCTCCCACCCCAATCCACCACTGGCCACCTTTGGTCTGTTCTCTGTATCTGTGAGCTTGCATTTGTTTTCTGCTTTTGCGGTTGTGTTTTTAGATTCCACGTATAAGTAAAATCACACAGTATTTGTTTTTCTCTGTCTGATTTATTTATCTCATTTTCTCAAGGTCCAGTCATGTTATAGCAAATGGCAAGATTTGGTTGTTGTGGGTTTTTTTAATGGCTGAACAGCTGAGTAATGGTGGTGCATACTGCATACATCTTTTCAAGTTCATGTTTTCATTCCCTTCAGAAAAAATCCAGAGGTGGAATTGCTGGATCCTGTGGTAGTTCTCTCTTTGCTGTTTTGAGGGCCCTCCATATTGTTTTCCACAGTGGCTGCCTGCCTTGTCCGAAGGCAGACACACAGGAGATGCTTAAAGAATGAGTGTGTGATACACAAACTAGATAAATATTTTTGAATATCGACTCTGATGTAAGGTTAAATTTAAGCCCACTTTGGTGAATAAATTCAAAGGGAAATCTCAAAAATGTTTTGTTCAAAGATGTTCAAAACACAAAATGAATTCTGGGAAAATCCCAAGAGTTAGATAACCAGAAAAAAGTCAGGTTTGCATTAATAAGATTGTTGTACACTCACTCATGTAAATACTGTAAATCTATACTTCTAGATAAACTCAATGAATTGAGCACAAGCCTTTGTTTTCTGCCTCTTCCCATCCTCCAATCAACTAATTTAATAGCCTAGAAAAGGGAAAGAAAAGGCATAGAAAGAAAAACCATGATTAGAATCATATCAGATTGGAAAATTTAAAAGGGTGCCATCCAAATACCAGAACTTTGAAAGATTTTCTACTGGATATAACTGGGATACAACCAAGGAAAAAAGAAAGAGGTATCTTTCTCCAGTGTCACTGACATTATTTAAAGTTTTACCCTAGAAGTAGAAAATGTCCTGAAACCCCTCACATACACCCTGATTTGGAAACGCATTTTCTTGGACAAGCAGGGCGTGGAAGGGAAGACAGAGGGGCAAAAGAAGACCCCCACCAAGGGTGTAGGGCTGTTGAAGGCAAGGAATGCCCAGCCAGGTTATACCCTGTAGGCACCACCAACAGAGGGCGCCACCCATTCCACACAAGCCACAGCTTCATCTGGTCATGCAGGGGTAGAGACACAAGAGAAAGGATGGAGGAACAGGAACACACCTGGGTCAGGGGCCCTGGGTGGATTCATGAGCATGAAGCAAGGGAGACTTCAGATTCCCAAGGGGCAGGGTTCTGCTGGGAGGGGCACAGCACCTAAAACAAGAAAGCAACCAGGCTACATAGAATCCAGACATAGGAAAACCAGACCATGATTCCCTGCCCAGGACCCTGGCTTCCTTCTTTCTGACTCTTTTCCCCACCAACAGATCACTCAACTGAACTGTCAACTGATTACTCAACCCAAGATCCAAGAAGACAGCTTTAACATCAAGTAGAAACAGGAGACCAGTAATTCACTTGCTCTGACCGGAGCAAATAGCAGGCCTGCATTACCTCATCAGACACAAGTAAACCAAAAAATATATCAAGCATGCATTATCTCACCATTCAGATGCAAGAAAACCAAAAAATATAGCCAGTCTATATTAACTCATCATTCAGACCCAAGAAAAATGAAATACGAAGAAAGCAGCATAGTCATCAAAAGCAGGTAAAGCCACCGCTGAAAAAAAATTACCCCACAAAACAGAAATTTTAGGCCACATCTACTTTATGCTCTCATTTTTAGAAAAAAGTCAAAACGAAGTGTAAGAGGGAACAAAAAAATGAAAGCATAAATTGGAAACAGAAGAGTAAAAGTTATAAACAAAATCAAAATATAATTCTTCTAAAAGATAAATGAGATTAACTAATAGGAGGCTTGACCAAGACAGAAGGGAGGGGGGCAGCCAGTAAGTATTTAAATCTTAGCTCCGTGCATGATTATAAATTAAAAGGATGTGCTATGAATAACTATGGCAATAAACTTGGAAACCTACATGAGCCAGATGGCTTTGTGGAAAAATATATATATGGCCAAAGTGAAATTAAGGTGAGGTAG